CGACAGCCACAAGAGGACATTGGACCCCTGGAACTGGAGTTACAGAGGATTGTGAGCTGCCATGTGGGTGCTGGGGATTGAACCAGGGTCCTCTGCAAAGAGCAGTGAGTGTGGCCCCATTCCTTACTGCAGAGTTTCATCTCTGCCAATGCAGCAATCCAAATCAGACCAAATCAAAAACAAATTAGAAAAGGCCCAGGTTTAGTGAGTAGAACATTCCTGAATGATTTTCCTGCTCCCCAGAGAGGAGATGGAGAAGAGAGACCAAGAAAACCACATGTCTGTTCTCTGGGGGGCAGTTTAAATACCCTGTGGGAGTGGTCTTCAGCATCTCTAGGGGGCCATTACTTGGTGGGCTTTCTGAGATGCAGCAGGGTGTGGAGAGAGATGGGGAGGGGCTTGAGGTGGAACCTCCTCCAGAACACTTCTTCAAGTCATGACCTCTGCCTCACCTCCAGTAGCTGTGCTCACTGGAACACACTGTTTCTTGCTTCAATCACTGATTTATTACCAAGCATCTTCACTTTGCTCAATTCCTATCTTCCCCCTTGACTCCCATCCACAGTGAGCATTCCTGGAGACAGGTAGACTCATGCCACTATTTATTGCATGGGATTCTTTTAAATTTGCCGTAGTGTGAAATCTCACTATGTCCCTGTGTGGGAACAGTGGTCCTGGGAGCTAAGTTCCTGTCTGCCTTTGTATCCCCAGCTCACCACCTTAGTGATGAGAGTTCCTGGAGCCTTAGTAGTACCCTCTTGGCTCTGCGCCATGGACTACGCCATTTGGAGGGCACTCTCCACACTGATTAACAGTTCCTCCAAACTAGAGTGTAGTACAGGACAAAGGGTCCTTTACTGCTGCCCTCAAATATGACCCATCAATGTTATTAGTTACTAGTGCAGCTATGCTTGTTGTCATCCTACTCCCTCGTCCTCTTCCATTCTGTGGGTTTGCTATGGACAGAGGCTGGTTTCTCTTTCTGCATGCCAGCGAAATACCCCAATCGCAAAATGTTGGATCCTTTTACCTTATGGTTAAGATACCAAGTGCCGAAGACAGTAAGCTACCTTGCAAGTGATTTGTGATATTCAGAGCTATAGTGCCTACCTTATGTACAAGTGTTTGTTTTTCTAGGCGAGGAATTGCAGATCCAGATGTCTATAAGAATGAAAAAGCTGGAGAGGTGGCTCGGCGGCTAAGAGCACCGACTGCTCTTCCAGAGGTCCTGAGTTCAATTCCCAGCAACCACATGGTGGCTCACAACCATCTGTAATGAGATCTGGTGCCCTCTTCTGGCGTGCAGGCATAGGCAGAGCCCTGTATACATAATAAATAAATCTCTTTAAAAAAAAAAGAAATGAAAAAGTAGGTTAGTCATGCCCTTTTTCTGGGATGTATGACTTTGTTTTTTAGAATATTTTTATTTATTCACTGACAGTTTCACACATGTATGCAGTGTAGCTTGATCATATCCAAGCAAGACCGTCTCTCCCACTCCCCCAGATCTCTGGATTTAGGACTTTCTTGTCCTAAATTTCCCCACCTGTGATACATGTTTTGGTACATGTAATTCTTTACCACTTTTTTTTTTATTAAAAACAATCTTATTTTACATACCAATCCCAGTTCCCTCTCCCTCCCATCCTCCCACTCCCCCCTTCCAATCTCCCATCTCAACTTTCTTCTACTCCCCAGGGAGGGTAAGGCCTCCCATGTCGGGGCCATCATCAAAGTCTAACATCATTTGGGGTAAGGGTAGGGCCTCCCCCATGTATCTATGCAGAAAGAGTATCCCTCCATAGGGGATGGGCTCCCAAAGCTCATTCATGCGCTAGGGATAAATACTGGTTCCACTGCCAGAGGCCCCATAGACTGCCCTGGCCTCCCATGTTCAGGGGGCCCGGCTCAGTCCTATGCTGATTTCCCAGCTGTCAGATTGGGGTCTGTGTACTCCCACTTACTCAGGTCATCAGAAACAACGCTGGGTTTCCCCAACATGGTTTTGACCCCTTTGCTCATCAGTCCTCCCTCTCTACAACTGGATTTCATGAGTTTGACTCAGTGCTTAGCTGTGGGTGTCTGCTTCTGCTTCCATCAGCTACTGGGAGAAGGCTCTAGGATGGCTTTTAAGGTAGTCATCAGTCTCATTATAGAGGAAAGGCATTTAAGGTAACCTCTCCACTATTAGATTCTTAGTAGGAGACTCCTGGCAGGAAGATGGGGAAGCCGGCACAGCAGGGGTCACACTGCATCCACAGTCAGGAAGCAGAGGGCGGACACCAGTGCTCGGCTCCTTTATATTTAGTCTGGATTCCAGCCCGAGGAATGCCCAGCAGTATTTAGGGTGTGTTACCTGAGAATACAACACCTCAGCAAGCAGTTAGTTAACTTCCCTATTTAGGATTTGCCTAGTTAGAATTGTCAGATAAAGTTAAACTGAGTCTAGGATTAAATTGTGTGGCTAGTATCAAATTTGATTAAATTTGATAGCTTTAGTGCCATTTGATTCTGTTGGGGCAGAAGAATATAATTGCTTACTCTCGAGAATGGATTTTTTCTAACTGACTAAAGAATAGAGCATTTATTGAAGTTACCTGGGTGATCTGATAGGGAGAGGTGTGCTTCTTTTTCCCAGGCAGAAACAGGCCCAGAGCGTCATTAGCATGTGGAAAAACTGAGTAATTGAGCAATACTGACTTCTTTCCATCCAGCCTTTTATCTCATCTGTGTGTTTGAACAGGGAGCCTGCAGAGGGTTAGGAAGGAAAACTGAGGTACTGAGGACTTTTAATTTAGTTTTGTACTACATATGGCTATCTGGTTTCGCTTGGCAGCCTCCAGTTTTCTGCTACTTTATAGTCATAGCAAGAAAGAATACTTTGTATACTGATGATAACACCTGGAAGTAACTCAAAAGAAGAAACAAAAAGGTCACTAAAAATACAGAGGAGCCAGGCGTGCTAGTGCACACCTTTAATCCCAACACTTTGGAGGCAGAAGCAAGCAGATCCCTGGAGTTTGAGGCCAGCCTGGTCTACATGGTGAGTTCCAGGCCAGCTAGGGCTACACAGTGAGAACCTTTCTCAAAATAACAGAAGTGCAGAGGAGTCTGAGATTGTGTCAAAAAGAAAGTTTTCCATAGTTCAGATTTGACCAATGAGAGAGATTGCAGAATTAATTACCTTAGCAGTTTGGGGCTGTGAAAGAATAGACCAAATCCTGCAAACTTATAAGAATTATAGTGTTTGTAAACTGTAGATAAGATTTCAAGATAACAAAAATGGCTCTTTGATGGCCTAGATAGATAGAATTCCTGCACTCTCGGTGTAATAGATACTGCTTATTAACTATATTAAGTATCCCTACTGGGTTGCATATATGGTTTCATAAATTCAATATTCCTGCAGAAAAAATATTAATAATGTGTATAGAGAAATACGATTATTGGTCTCCTGTTATAAAGAGGACAGGGTAGCATTATTACCTAGGACACTTCAGCTTTGGGAAATCACTATTATTTCTATAATCTTGAAAGTCCTGTCCATCTCAGTCACATTTGTTCTGGAACAGTATGCTAAGCAAGGCCTGCTTGACATGACCTTTAGTCATCCTGGAGTCTAAATTACAATGTCCATTAGATCCGTGCCCACCCACTGTGGGAAAGGTTTGAGTAAGTGGAAGAAATGAAGGGGTCTTGTAGTACACCAGGTGGTACTAGAGAGGGAGCAGACCCAACAACTGATCAGGCATACCAAGCACTTCCTCTCAGCCAGCAAGTACTTTGTGGTACTTGGCTAAGTCAGGACATGCAATGTCTCTGAGGTCTCATGGTTTAGGAGTGTCTAGTGACCTGCTTGGGCAGTGCATATGTGTCACAATGCATAACTGCTTGAAGAGGGTGTGAATGGTAATGATTGGCCTTTTATGTAATATGTAAGAGTAGAGACTGGGTATTTTGTTGATCTACATGTTCACAAAATGTCATATGCCGAGGCATTCCTTGTTTATAAGCTGGAGAAGTGTCGTTGAAAACAGATCTTTGTGTCACACATTTACAATGCAAAGCGATTTGCATTATTATCATTTACTCATAACAGGAATATATCTCCATTTTAGGAATTCTGCGATTAAAAAAAGAATTTTAAGAAGGTTTATGTGTTTGCCTATGTGTACATATTGCATACCTGGTGTCCGTTGAGGTCAGAAGAGGACTCTGGATCACTTGGAACCACAGGGAATGTGGGTGTGAGGTGCTATGTGAGTGCTGGGAACCAGACTCAGGTTCTCTGCAAGAGCAGACCATGTTCATAATCCTTGAGCCATCTCTTCAGTCCCCAACTCTTTGCAAGTTTTAATTATTCTTCCCAGAATGTTTTCTGTAACAGAATTTTTAAGTGCATGAAAAAGTTAAAAGAAACATCAACCCACATTAGATTCTATAATTACTATTTTACTATATTTGCTTTATTATATGTCTACTTTTTCATTTACCCGTTCTCTGATCTGCTTAGCTTTCATTGTATTTCAGAGAGAGTTGCAGGTAGAAGTACTACATTTAACTCCTGACCATAATAAGCATGAAAATGATGAGTCAGATAGAGTTATTAAAAAATAAAACACAGACCATTCAAACCTATGTTTTAGAAGCTGTGTGTATACTTAGTGACTCTGGGCTGTTTGTGTTTGAGACAGGGTCTTATGTAACTGAGACTGTCCTCAAACTTGTTACATAGCCAGGGCTGGCCTTGAACTCATGATCTCCTTGTCTCTATCTCCCATTTGCTGGGTATGTTATACCACAAGGTCTTGCTACTTTGAATTCCTAGACCCCTGCAAGTCAGCTGAAATCTTACCCTGTGGTCACTGAGTCCAGTACTGACCTAATAAGAGGAGTTTGATAGCAAATTATTGAAGGACTTTGATAACGATGTTGGAACTTCATTTTACTGAGTACTTTTCCTTTTGTCTTCTTTCTGGGTGTGACTAAATTGCCTACAGCATGCTGCATGGTTGCTGGTAAAACAGGAAATGGGGTAAGTTGGGAGTTTTTTCCATTATTTAATTATAAGCTACCTGATTCTTCAAGTACTTTTACTACTGTTACCCCCCTTTTAGAGTAAATTCAGCAGCTAGAGAAGTTGGTACAGTAAATGCTTTCATTATGTACAGTGTCCAGTTTGCTTACACAGTGGCCTTTTAAGAGGGATTTTTTTTTTTTTTTTTTTTTTGGTTTTTACGAGACAGGGTTTCTCTGTATTGTTTTGGAGGCTGTCGGTCCAGCCCGGCCTCGAACTCACAGAGATCCACCTGCCTCTGCCTCCTGAGTGCTGGGATTAAAAGCGAGCACCACCACCGCCCGGCCTTAAGAGGGACTTTTAAAAGTGATTGTAAATGTACATTAACAAGCATTAGGCATTTAAGTAGTTTGGGAGATTATCCTCAGGTAATAAATTTTAGATTTATACTTGAAGCTAAATTATAAAACTAGATGATAAGCCATGAAAAGTAAAGTCTGGTTACATCAGAATAACAATGAGTTTACAGATAATACCTGAAAGCAAAAATTAGCAATCAGTCCCTTATCTGAAAGTCTTAGAAAACAAATAGGGTTTGGAGTTTAGATCTTTGGGTTTTAGGACTGTAATGTGAAATTGAATACTATATATAATACACAGCTTTCTTGGGGTGGTACTGTGAAACTAAATGACCTATTTTTGTAGTGAAGAAAAACATGCATGTCAAATTCGGTAAACATCTCAGATGTTCAAATCAAGTGCACGTAAAAAAAAACTGTTAAATCTTCAGAGTTTTTGTTTGATTTTTAAAACTAAGCATTTTGTGCCTTTGCGAAGATCATAGGTTCCTGTGTTCTTTGGTGAGAAGAACCCAGGAGATTTAGGTTTCTGTGTTAGAAGCTCATCTGTGGTTCTGAGACTTACAGAAAAACATAACGTAGTCTTTTGTTTGTTCTGTATATTATTTCTGTATCTTCCCTTTTCAGAAGCAAAATAGCCGTGTATTTATCAAAGGCTGCAGGTCTAATGGGTCTTAGTCTCTAAGTTTCAAAGACTTGCGCGATAGGTCTGGCGCATTTTGATGCTATATTTTAGAAAAGGAGTGCCGTCCTGAGACCATGCCATGTAATGGGTGCTTCCCTCTCAGGCACGTTGCTGTGAGTTGTTGCTTTCACTCCTCATCAAAGGGTTTGTTCCAAGCTGCGTTTCAGTCACCAGAACTTGGTCCAGGTGGGAATGCTGGACAGAAAATGCAGGGTGCTGTTCTTCCTCCCTTCAGGACCCTCAGCTCATTTAGGTTGAAAAGATCACCAGGAATTTCCGTTAAGAAACTGACTCAAGTGTCCTAGCCCTTCCCTTTGGACTGCCTGCTGTGTCTGGAGTGAGAGTCTGCAGCCCATCATCCCCTCTGGGTACCTGACCACCCAGGGAAGGGTCTTAGAAGGCCACCTTTGCTTCTGGAGCACTAACCCCTCTAACGGACAATCAGATACAGGCCAAGGGCCTCTGTGGAGACATGTGTCCAAAATTATACTAGAAAAGTTATTAGCCACATTCAAATTTCATGTTTAAAAATCTTAACAGCTTTTTTTTCTGGTTTTGGTTTTTTGAGACAGCTTCTCTGTGTAGCCCTGGCTGTCCTGGAACTCTGTAAACCAGGCTGACCTCAAACTCACAGAGATCTGCCTGCCGCTGCCTCCTAAATGGTAGGATTAAAGGCGTGTGCCGCCAGTACCCAACAAAAATCTTAACATTGTAAACATTCTTTTTTTGCCCTATGTATGAATAAGGTTTTCGGGCTATCAATTAAGCCTTTACTTTGGCGTTTTAATTTGGAAGAGAAGAGTACCTGCGCTTGGACGGTTTTTAGCTAATTACCAATTCAGAAATTCTTCATATAAACCAGTTTTCTTTTCTGTGTGTGGTTTCTTATTTGTTTGTTTTAAGACAAGATCTCTATGCCTGGAAGTCATAGAGATTTGTGGTGATACTTTGTTTCTGATCTAAAAAACTTGCCCAAAGATGAGCGTGCAAAGCTAGCCACAGCCATAGAAGCTTTAATCCCAGCTGGCACTTAGGAGATAGAGGTGGTCACACCTTTAATCCCAGCTGGCACTTAGGAGATAGAGGTGGTCACACCTTTAATCCCAGCTGGCACATAGGAGATAGAGGTGGCCACACCTTTAATCCCAGCTGGCACATAGGAGATAGAGGTGGCCACACCTTTAATCCCAGCTGGCACTTAGGAGATAGAGGTGGCCACACCTTTAATCCCAGCTGGCACTTAGGAGATAGAGGTGGTCACACCTTTAATCCCAGCTGGCACATAGGAGATAGAGGTGGCCACACCTTTAATCCCAGCTGGCACTTAGGAGATAGAGGTGGCCACACCTTTAATCCCAGCTGGCACTTAGGAGATAGAGGTGGTCACACCTTTAATCCCAGCTGGCACTTAGGAGATAGAGGTGGTCACACCTTTAATCCCAGCTGGCACTTAGGAGATAGAGGTGGTCACACCTTTAATCCCAGCTGGCACTTAGGAGACAGAGGTGGTCACACCTTTAATCCCAGCTGGCACAACCATAGAAGCTGGGCAGTGGTGGTCACACCTTTAATCCCAGCTGGCACTTAGGAGATAGTGGTGGTCACACCTTTAATTCCAGCTGGCACTTAGGAGACAGAGGCAGATGGAAGTCTATGAGAGTAAATCAGTCTAATAGAGAAGCAGAGCTCACACCTTTGAACCCAGCACTAGGGAGGTGGAGACAGGAGTGATATGGCTGGGGAGAGAGAGGAATCTACGGCTGGAGGAGACAGGGCTCCTTGCAGTCTAGGCATCTGATCTGAGGACACAGGTGCAGCCTGGAGATGCAATCTGAGGACAGAATCGCACTTTCTGTCTGAGCATTGGTAGAGGTGAGAACTCTCTAGTGGCTGGCTGCTTTCTTCTCTGGTCTTCAGTTTTCACTCCAATATCTGTCTCTTGGTTTTATTATTTGTGCTACAGAGATCCTCCTGCCCTGTTGGGATTAAATGCATTGCAGATTCTTTTTTAAATGTATAATGAACAATGTTTTAACAGGATTGACTTTTTTCCTTTTTTTATTTAAATTAGAAACAATCTTGTTTTACATGTCAATTGCATTTCCCTCTCACTCCCCTCCTCCCCTGCCCCCCACCAATCTCCTATCCCATCCCCTTTCTGTACCCCAGGGAGGGTGAGGTCTTCCATGGGGAATCTTCAAAGTCTGTCATATTTGGAGCAAGGCCTAGGCCTTCCCCCGTGTATCTAGGCTGAGAGGGTATCCCTCTATGTGGAATGGGTTCCCAAAGTCCCATAGATTGCCCACATTTGGGGGGCCTGGTTTGGTCCTATGCTGGTTCCCCAGCTGTCAGACTGGGTGGGATCTCTGAGCTCCTACTTGTTCAGGTCTGCTGTTTCTGTGGGTTTCTCCAGCCTGGTCTTGATCCCTTTGCTCATCACTCCTCCCTCTCTGCAACTGGTTTCCAGGAGTTCAGCTCAGTGCTTAGCTGTGGGTGTCTGCTTTTGGAATTTAAGGTTGTCATCAGTCTCATTATTGGGGAAGGGCACTTAGGGTAACCGCTCCACTATTGCTTAGATTGTTAGTTGGGGTCATCCTTGTATATACCTGGACATTTCCTTAGTGCTAGATTTCTCTTTAAACCTATAACGGCTCCCTCTATTATGGTATCTCTTTTCTTGCTCTCCTCTATTTTCCCCTGACTCAATCTTCCTGCTCCCTCATGTCCTCCTCTCCCCTCCTCTTCTTCCCTTCTCTTTCTCCTAACTCCCTCTCCCCTTTCCCCATACTCCCAATTTGCTCAGGAGATATTGTCCCTTTCCCCTTCTCCAGGGTAGCCATGTATGTCTCTCATAGGATCCCCTTTGTTTCCTAGCTTCTTTGGCAGTGTGGATTGTAGGCTGGTAATCCTTTGCTCTATGTCTAAAATCCATATATGAGTTAGTACATACCATGTTTGTCTTTTTGTGACTGGGTTACCTAGTAGTAGTACTCCATTGAGTAAATGAACCACATTTTCTCTATCATCTAGGTTGCTTCCAAGTTCTGGCTATTACAAATAATGCTGCTATGAACGTAGTGGAACAGACATCCTTGTTGTATGAATGTGCATCTTTTGGGTATATGCCTAAGAGTGGAATTGCTGAATCTTGTGGTAGACTGATTCCCATTTTCCTGAGGACCCTCCATACTGATTTCCAAAGTGGCTATACGAGTCGGCACTCACACCAGCAATGAAGGAGTGTTCCCCTTTCTCTACATCCTCTCCAGCATAAACTGTCATTGGTGTTTTTGATTTTAGCCATCCTGACAGGAACAAGATGGTTTCTCAGAGTTGTTTTGATTTGCATTTCCCTAATGGCTAAGGATGTTGAGTACTTTCTTAAGTGTCTTTCAGCCATTTTAGATTCCTCTATTGAATTCCCTATTTAGTCCTGTACCCCACTTTTTAATTGGATTATTTGGTGTTTTGGTGACTAGCTTCTTGAGTTCTTTGTATATTTTGGAAATTAACCCTCTGTCAGATGTGGGGCTGGTGAATATCTTTTCCCATTTTGTGGGCTGCCGTTTTGTCTTGTTGACTATGTCCTTTGCCTTACCAGAAGTTTCTCAGTTTCAGGAGGTCCCATTTATTAATTGTTGATCTCAGTGTCTGTGCTACTGGTGTTATGTTCAGGAAGTGGCCTCTACCAATTCCTTCATTGGTATCTCCCACTTTCTCTTCTAAGAGGTTCAGTGTGGCTGGATTTATGTTGAGGTCTTTGATCCATTTGGACTTAAGTTTTGTGTATGGTGATAGACATATTTCTATCTGCATTCTTCTACATGCCAGCCTCCAGTTATGCCAGCACCATTTGTTGAAGATGCTCTTTTTTTTTTCTCTTGTCAGGATTGACTTTTGGTGCAGCTCTTTAGATTTTAGGATCTATAAGCAATTTTAAAATAGTTTATTTTTCTGTTTCTACTTTTTATTCTTTAAAATATATTTTCCTGGGGCTGAAGAGATGGCCCAGCAGTTAAGAACACTTGTTGTTCTTCCAAAGGATCCAAGTTTGATTCCAAGAAACACAATTCATATCGTCCATAAGTCCAGTTCCTCTGGCCTGCACAGGCACCAGGCACTCATGGTGCACATACATGCATAAAGAAGAAACATACACATAAATAAAAATTGTTTAATATATTTTCTTTTTAAAAAGATGTATTATTTATGTATGTGTACGTATGTACACATGAATGCAGTACTCTTGGAGGCCAGAAGAGGACATCATATCCCCTGGAATTAGAGTTGCAGGCAGTTGTGAGCTCCCTAATGTAGGGGCTTGGAACTGAACTTGAACTCTGTGCAAGAGCAGTGCACACTCCTAACCACATTCTCAAAGACAAACTCTCTTATGCACTTCCAACTTTGATGCTAGTTTATGCAAATGTAATTAAACTCTTGACACAATATCAAAACAGTCCTTTAAAACATCTAAATGTGGACTGGAGAGTTGACTCAGTGGTAAAGAACACTTGTTATTCTTGCAGGGGACCTAGGTTCAAGTTTTTTGTTTGTTTGTTTGTTTTGTATTTTGGCACAGGGTCTCTCCATGTAGTCCTGGCTGTCCTAGAACTGGAAATGTAGACCAAACTGGCCTTGAACTCAGAGAGCTCCTCTGTTTCTGCTTCCTGAGTACTGGTATTTAAAGTCCTGTGTCCCAATACCCAGTGACATACAATTTTCTGGTTTCCAAGAAAAATACCCATGCACATAAAGTAAATAAATGTTTCTGATATTCAGAGAAGTAGAAACAGTTTATAAAACTTACTGTTTGAATAAGCTCTTGAATGTAGACAAATGTAAGATTTGTCTGTGTATTTCATTGTTAAACTGTAACCCCAAAGCAACTTTAGGTATAACCAAAGTTATTGTCTCAACTGGACATAGAATGGGTGGCTAAGTTTTTTTCTTTTGCATTTTTAGAGGAACAGTAGCTCTGTATGTGTGTGTCTGCCTATCTATCTATCTATCTATCTATCTATCTATCTATAAACCTATAGATATATAGCTGTGTATAATATACATCATACACTTTATTTCCTAAAAACTATTTTCTGTTGCATGGGTATGGGGTTATTTATTAGTTTATGGGCAACTTAGCAGTGGCTATACCAGGACAATAGTTTTTATATTTTTTTCTTATAGATCAATTAATTTTAACTATTAGTCAAAAGACTTTTTGTTTCTTCCCTGTAGTTGGCCTTGCAGAATTAAACTGTAAGGGGTAGTGTGTGTAGGTAATAACTCCAGACATTAAAAGGAATGACTCAAAACTGGTCATGATGGTGCACACCTGTAATCCCAGCACTCCGGAGGCAGAGACAGGCGGATCTCCGAGTTCAAGGCCAGCCTGGCTTGTAGAGCGAGTTCCAGGACAGCAGGGCTACACAGAGAAACCTATCTCAGAAAAACAACAAAAACAAACAAAAGGGATGATTCAAGACCGCATTCTGCCCTCTCTATTGCCACAAGCAGTCCTGTAACCAGCCATTAGGGTGTTAGGTATTCTAATTACTTTAATGTACAGGCTTGTTAGTTTGGTAGTAACAATTGGGTTTCTCAACAAAGTTCAACAGTTTTAGTGATATATATGAGAGATGTCCTGTGTATTTCCTCAATTCCTTTCTATTACAACTGTAGGCTCCATACAAAAGCTAGCTCATGATGGGCATTTATCAAAACCAGGGTATTGGCTCGTAAGTAGATTTTAGGAGAATGTGAGATTTTATTTATGTAATATTACACTGGTGAACATTTTCAAATGTACACACTTCAGAATTTAATGTTTCTTCTTAAGCAGTAAGGTGGGGAGAGTCCAGCTTTTACTTCATTTCCCATAAGTAAGCCCCATTTTCAGCAAGGGGGAGATAGAGACATTTATAACATGAACATAACTATTACAGTAGATAGTTTTATCATTTCCAAGCAATACACAATTTGTCTTTTGTGACCTTTCCAGAATGTGTGAATCTTGGAATTTGGTGGTTCCAGCTCAGGAAAATAAATTAATGTGCTTTTATTATTGCATCTTCAAATGTGGACTCCCATGCCACTGAAAACTTAGTTCTTTGCTCTCTCTAGAGTACAGGAATTCTTGTTTACTTTGTTTGATGTTCTTTCTCCTGTCTGATATTGAGCCTGACATGTACATACTAGGTACTCATTGTTGTAAGATAATTGCATAATCCCTTTCCTTTAGCACTAACAATGATGTTTTCCATGTCCGTGAATGCATTCTTCTGTTACTCAGAAAGCAGGGTCTGACTCCGGGAAGAAACGACGTAGTTCAGCTGAAAGAAGCCTACAAATGGATAACTCACCCCCTGTTTTCAGAGGAACTGGGAGTTCCCACTGACGGAAAGGTAGGAGACCTGGGCACTGCTAATCTCGGGTTCCTGGGCTCCCTTTGTCATTGTAGACACTTGGTGAGCTAAAAGCCTCCCCTCTCTATATAGCTGCAGGAAGGCTCTCCTAAGACTTTGGGTTTGTTTGTTTGTTTTTTAAGACAGGGTTTCTCTGGGTAGCCCTGGCTGCCCTGACCCATGTTGCTGTGGCTGTGTGGTCCTTCTGCCTCCGGAGTGCTGGAATTAAAGGTGTGCGCCCATGCCTGGCTCTGCTGAGTCTTTAAATGTTCATTTAGGACTATCCAAATTGATGTTAAGGTCTCTTGTTTATTTTTACTCTTTGTGATCCAGGATACTTAAGAAGATAAATAATGTCAACACATTGACCTTAAAAAGGTTAGATGTAAATCTTCACCTGGAAGTTTTTGTAGTTTAGTTGAAAGTACAGCAATGTGTTAAAAACTGGCTCAGTGGGTAAAGGTGCTTGCCACAAAGCCTCATGACCTGAGCTCAAGAGGTCACTTGGGGAAAGGAGAGAACTGGTTACCACAGGTTGTCCTTTGACTTACACACACACACACTTTTTAAAAAATGCTAAGCAAGTGTCAGATCAACTCCAGACTATTTGATTTTGGTTTATCTCTGGCTAGTCTTGCTTTAAAATATGTAGGCAGTAGGCATTAGATGACAGTAAGATGGGCTCATTCTAGAATAGTCGATGGGATCTCAAGGCCTTCTGTGTCTAGGCAGGGGCAGCCTCTGAAACTAGGGCACCTGGCCACGTTTCCAGTCCTGGAGAAGGCCAGGCCTCTGTCGTGGGAATGGGTTGAAATCAGGGGCAGCTCAGCCAGCTGTGTAAACCAGGGCCGGTTCCCAGCTCGTCTGAAGTCAGACTTCTGTAGTGCAGGCTCGTTGCTCATCTCACTAGAGGAAGTTTCCTGAGTGTTAGATGTAGACATATCCCTACTCAAGGTCTTTAAAGCCACCCTAAATTATGGACTTAGTTTCCTAGAACAAATAATCCCTTTCATGCTTTTGGCTTTTTGAGACAGGGTCTCATAGCTCAGGCTGGCTTTGAACTTACTATGTAGCTAAGAATCTCTGACCCTTTTGCCTCCCTCTCTCAAGGGCTACGACTAGCAGGGTAAGCTCTTTAAATTGAATAGTGAAAGAATAAAGAGTAAAAATACCTCACAGATGGTCTGAAAAGGAACCGAAGTAATGAAAGTACTTTGGAAATTAGAGAAGTCATTGATGTAAGCTGCCCTTACCTCAAATTTCAGTTTTGAAGCAGCTAACTTTAAAATTTACATACTGAGTCACGGAACAGAAGGCGAGAAACAAGAGACCCAGTGATGTTTGAGTAGATTCCTGCTGGTTTTCTTTAGTAGAAAACACTTGGTTCATCTTATTTTTATTCTATGTATTAGGACAGGGAGCAAAACAGAAGCCATTTATTATAATCAGCGAAGGACTTAGTGAGCTCAGGGTAATTAATAAGACAGCTGGTATGTGGCATGTACAGCTTTTTCTTCAGTAGCAAATCTTGAATATTCTCTGCAGAGATAAGATGTATATAACATGAAATTATTCACATACAGAATGCTTGTTGAAGCAATTTTTTAATAATAGAAATGTTTTCTTTAGTATCTCACAGCTCTTAGAGCTGGAAGGTATCTGAAGTAAGATTAACAGGGCAGTTTCCCAAAACAGCTAATAAGAATGGCTAGTGAGAAACATGCCGAATGGCTGGCTTATGGCTCCACCCTGATGGTGTGTGGTTGGAAAACCATCTTTTATTTGATTATTTTATAATTTTGAAGCATTACTTTTGATGAAACACAAATTAAGAGCACTGTTTTTTTGTTTTTGTTTTTTCCCCAAGACAGGGTTTCTCTGTATTGCTTTGGAGGTTGTCCTGGAACTCACTCTGTAGACCAGGCTGGCCTCGAACTCACAGAGATCTGCCTGCCTCTGCCTCCCGAGTGCTGGGATTAAAGGCATGCGCCACCAACACCCAGCAAGAGTTCTGTTTTTAAAAGTCAAATTTGAGTACTTTAAGAATAAGCTTGAAGGCTGGGGAGATGGCTTAGCTGGTGTTTGTCACACAAGCATTTGGAGCTGAGTGAGGATTGCCAGTAACATGGAAAAGCCAAGCAGAGGTGGATCTCTGGGGCTTGCTGGCCAGCCAGGCTGATTGGTGAGAGACAGTCACATCATCTCAGAAGAAAATATGCTGAGGGACTGGAAAAGATACCCTCTGGCCTCCATGTACACTTCTCCACAAGTGTACACACACACACACACACACACACACACACACACACACACACACAGAGGGTTCATCTAGAATTCTTAAAGATTTGAACAAAATGTTTTTGTCCTGCTAATAACTGGTCAGTAATGGTCAGGGAGTTCTCTGGGATTTTTAGTTATCTCTGTCCAGTTCTCTAAATTCACATTTATCTTCATTGTAATCTATGCATTTGTCCGCATAAGTTGATTTAAAAACCTAGTTTAAAGGAGGGATAGCTGGGGAGGCTTGGACAGAGGAAAGGGACTAAAGTGTTGGACTTACATTACAATCTCAAAAAGAAAGCAGAACCACAGCCCAGTTTTGAGTCCTGTTGGTGACTGGGTTTAGAAGTTAAAGCAAACAAAAGCTAAAGCCCCCCCCCCCAGAGTTGCCTGCAAGCAGGCTTGAGGGCATTAGTGTTTCTAGTTTCCCTTAGCTTTTCTGAGCCAGCCTTTGGGAGTTAACTTCTATTTCCATTCATAAGCTGTTAGCGGTTAGTTTCCTTTTGCTCATTTAAAAACTGTTCTTTATAATTTTTAGAGCTTGTTTGAAGTGAGTGTGGTCTTTGCTCATCCAGAAACAGTTGAGGATTGCCACTTCCTGTAAGTTGCTCAATAAAAACAGTGTCAATTATGTCAATTATGTTAGTGCTTTCTTTTTCATGAAGATAGTGTTGTTTTTCTTTCTTGTGGACATTTTCGGTCTCGTGAGTGTCAGATTTAAAATGTGCCCTCATAGAAGAGTCCTCAGGGAAACCAATGCAGCTAACAAATGTACATGTACAAGGATAATATTTAAATATACATATATACATGCACACACAGATACTATGTAAATATACATATATACATGCACACAGATAATATATAAATATACGTATATACATGTACACACGGATAATATGTAAATATATATATACATGCACACAGATAATATGTAAATATACGTATATACGTGTACACACGGATACTATGTAAATATATATATATACATGCACACAGATAATATGTAAAAATACGTATATAAAATGTATTTGAATGGTGTTCACCTATTATAAACTCATTAAACATTCTTCTCCTCCCCCTCTTCTCCCCCCCCTTTTTTTTAAGATAGGGCCTCACTATTTAGCTCTGACTGTCCTGGAAATTACTATGTAGATAGACTAGGCTAGCCTTGAACTCGCAGAGATCCACTTGATTCTGCCTCCCAAGTGCTGGGATTAAAGGTGTGCACCACCAAGCATGCTCAGATAAACTTTTATCTTAACTTGAATTCTGTTTCAGAGGTGAAGTTTGCCCAGATTGTTTCAAACCAGCCAAAAACAAACAGGTAAAGATTTTACTTCTTAAAATTACCAATAAAGTGGGGGCTGGAGAGATGGCTCAGAGGTTAAGAGCACTGACTGCTCTTCCAAAGGTCCTGAGTTCAATTCCCAGCAACCACATGGTGGCTTATAACCATCTGTATTGAGATCTGGTGCCCTCTTCTGGCCGGCAGATAGGAAGACAGAATACTGTATGCATAATAAATAAATAAATAAATCTTTAAAAAAAATTACCAATAAAGTGAGTATGCACTGGAAATGTGTTAAGAACTGGTCTTTAAATATCTCTATTTGGTTAATAGATTTTATTAATTTTTATTCTTTTGGGTCTTTTGAGGTAGCCTCATTCAGGGTCACCTGGAACTCGCTGTATAAACCAGTTTGTCCTGGAACTTGTAGCGATTCAGGGGCCTCTTTGCAGGACTGCAGCTCTGCCACACATTTCCCAGCCTCAGCTGTTCTCAGAAACCACGCAGCAGGGCTCCATGACCTCCTTAACCATGCATCTTCTATACCTACAAGAAGTACCATGTGCGTGGGCTGCTGTAGTCTGGCTCCTTTGGCCCAGTCTGTCCCTGGGTGCCAGGCCTGGGGTAACAAGTACCCAGGCCTGGGGTAACAAGTACGTTGCCAGCTCCTCCCAGGGGCTGAGAACCTCTTCAGTTTAGGTTGACTTCCTCAAATGAATTTGAGTCTTCACAAGATGGAACCTCCAGTGGTGGGGTTTTGTTCTCAACCTTTCCTATTGGCCCAGTGCTGGCTGGCCAGGAGATTTCTCTTTGTCTCTTTAATAAATACAGCTGCTTTCTCAGAATGTTATGTTTTGAAATTTCCTCTGCCAAACAACTTGATCCATTGCCTCTACATTCAACTGTTCTGGAATTCTTGCATGGGAAGAATGAATGGCCTCTAGTGCAGTTCCTGGTGGAAACTTTGTCCCGTTGTGACACCTCATGACCAGGCCAGTGCTGCCACTTCTCAGTGTCCTTGTCTTTAACCTCCATGAGAATGGACCATTGAGGTCTGCTTAGAGCATTCAAGAGCTTCTCTAATCCAAAGCTCCAAACTTCCACATTCCTCCCACAAAACAGTTCCAACAGATTCATCACACAGCAGTGGCTGCAGGGCTTATCTAATTATTCTTTATCAATAAGAACTTGGAGTCGGATATCGGGTAAGAACCTGAGTGATTAGAGAAGCAGTAGAGAAGTCACCAGTGACCTCCCCTTTCTCTCCTCCTTCAATCTAAAAGGGCTGATGATCTTTCTAAGCCCCACCCTTCTGCTTTCTGCGTCTCTCTATATGGCCTCAGTCCTCCAAAACCTCTTTGGCTAATTTTGATCAGCTACTGGGTAGCTCCACCCTCTGATTCAAAGCAAACTCTATTGACAGTCTCATGAGTGTCAGAGTACGATCAAAATATCCCACAATAAGTGGCCCTGATACTTCCTCAGTTATTTTTCCTACTGCTCTGATAAAACACCCTGACAAAAGATTTTGGCACACAGTGCTGAACAAAACGGAGAAAGTAGGCTGTCCACAAGTATTCAGTACTCCTTTCTTCCCGATGCCTTCATCTGCCTGGAGAGGCATGCCTGCCACAGGCCAGCATCGCGAGCACTTAAGCTTGACATGCTTGATTTTTAAATACGTAGGATGATATAATCCCTCTAATCAGTTGTGTTTCAGCTCTAGATCAAATTTCTTCCTTTTGTTTCACCCTGTGTAGTCAGTGTTCACCAGAATGGCCGTTTTGAAAGCTTTGAACAAGATAAAAGAAGAGGATTTCCTCAAGTAAGTATAGAAACCCTGAAGCATTGTGGGAATACTAAGGGTACTCTGGATTGCCTCTCAGACAAGCCTGGCTGTCTCCCAGACGTGCGGCAGTATTCGGTAAATGTTTATCAAATTAACATTACGAGTCAAGCCTGACTTCCTTACCTTACCAAGGAGGAGGCCAGAGTGTGACTCGCTGGTCAGTGCTTACCTGGCAGAGCTGAGCTGGGCCTAAAGCCCAAGCTTTTGAATCTGAGAAGATTTTGATTTCCAAAAAAGGAGTTGCCTTGCCTGGGTTTTCAACTGAGTAATTAGCGACCCATGGGCCGAGAGCTGTTCCTGCTGCATCCCAAATCTGATCCTTTCTAGTGTGGGCATCTCTGAAAGACAGGGGAGAGGCTTGGGAGTGTCCTTGCTTGCGCGGAGAGCACTGGCTGGAGAGCAGGGTCCTGGCTTCAGAGCAGTCTGTGTCACAGTTGGAACTTAGCTTGTCAGCTTCTGTCGACCTCAGTTCCCTTTTCTAAAGTATATGCTGTTAAGATATGTAGAAACACAATCAACTTTATGTTTTAATTATCAGTGCTTTAAAAAGAAACCCTAGTTATTGTAGTTTTCCTTCTAGAAGACCCTTGAATAAATATCAAGCAATGACATCATGATGAGGGCCTCTTATCATTCATGAACTAAAAAAAAAAACGAGTCTCATAATGGAAATATTTTCATTAATTTAAAAAGTAGTGAGTATTTATCTAGGGCCTGGAGAGGTAGACCAGGTCCAGTTCCAGCATCCACATAGCAGCTCCCAGTCATCCATAACCCTAGTCCCAGGGATCTGATGCCCTCTTCTGACCTCTGTGGACACTAGGCAGGACATGATGCATAAAGACCAGTTCTTGGGTTTCTGAATGGTTTCATTGTTAAGGCATCTTAGGAAATCACTGAAACATTCCAATCCACTGTTTGGGGTTAAATCAGAATTTAATTTACAGGCAGCCTCCAGTTTGTGCCTTTGGAAATTCCCAAATGATGGATAGAGGATAAATTGTTGTTCCCTGTTGTCCCAAATTGAAGTACTTTAGCTAAGAAAATGGCAACCCCAACTTTCCACGTCTTCCTGGCTTTGTGTCATGGTTGAAATGAAAAGGCAGAAGGGGGAAAGGAGTGGAGTATACCCCACAGTAGGACAGATGCCCACAACTGGGAGGAGTTACCCACTATAGACCAGCCTTACCCAAGCAGTGAAGGCTCAGTCCAGACAGCAGCACATGGCCAGAGAGAACAAAATGGTTTCCTCTACATCTGAAGGCTGCTACAAAGTGTCTCTGGGGAAGATCAGCTCTCCTGCCTGAGGAGCAACATCAAAGCCCCAATTGACTTTGTGCTGCTGCTGTGCGTTAGAAGTAGTGCTCTAGGGGTTGGAGTGTCGCTCAGTGGTTAAAAACGCTTGTTGCAAAGACCTGGGTTCAGTTCCCAGCGCCGACATGGTGGTTGGCTGCCTCCTTGGGCCCCAGGCCCACATCTGGTGCACAGATGTGCATGCAGGCAAAATAGCTATACACGTAATAAAAATACATCTTCGTTTTGTGTGTTTGGTTCTTGAGACCAGGCTTCTCTGTGTAGCTGCTGTCCTGGAACTCACTCTCTAGACCAGACCGTCCTCAAACTCACAGAGATCCACCTGCCTCTGCCTCCCGAGTGCTGGGATTAAAGGCGTGCGCCACCACTGCTCAGCATAATAGAAAAAAATCTTGAAAGAGAGAGAGGGGAGGGGAGGTTGGGTACTCTACAGCTGATGTGGTAGCTTATGCCTGCAATCCTAGGCTTCAGGAGGCTGAAGCAGATTGTGGCCAGACTGCAACACAGTGAGTTCCAGACCAACCTGGGATACAGAATGAGACCCTTCTCAAAATAAACAGCATAGATAGGGACTGGAAGATGGCTCCACGATTAAGAGCACTGGCTGCTCTTTCAGAGGACCCAGACTCAATTTCCAGGGTCAGTGACCACTTCTGGCCTCCATAAGCGCTGCACATGTGTGGTACATGAGCATGCATGCAGGTGAAACATCCACACACATAACAATAAATAAGATTTTAAAACAAAGCGGTCAAACTTGAGCAGTGAAGACCCGAATGCCCCTTTGGCTTTACAACTTGAAGGTGGTGAGGGGGACAGTGCTTGGGGCTCAAGTTCTGAGTTCTTGGACAATGCCGACTCCTCAGTATTAGTGTCCATAAAATTTATTTTGTTTTGCAGGCAGTTTCCTTGTCCTCCAAAGTCACCAAAGACTGTATCCACTGTCCTCGAAATTGAATGTACTCATGGTGCTGTTTTTGTTGCTGGTAACTATCTCCTCTAGAGTGTACATGCCCTGTCAGCCCCTGCCTGGACTCGTCTGCCTTGGCTCTCCCACTGATGGCCAGATGCAGAGAAAACCAGGCAGAGGATGTTCAGTGACCTGGAAAACAGACTTCAAAGAACTAATGTTACTATACTCTCCTTGACTAAACTCTTGGCTTTGTCCAGAGAAAAGGACAATGCTGTATCAACTTTCCTGATTGCTATACAGCAGGCACGTTTTTGTTTTGTCTTAAAAGTTATAGTTGCTTCTTAGTGAAAGCTTAAATGAAATTGCTCTGTCATCTTGGCTGCCTCCTCAGGCAAGGGCAGCAGCTCTCTTGTGGTGACTTTATTCATAAGGCAGTGAGTCACAATGTGTGAGGAAGGTTTTGGGGTTGCTGTTTTTTTAACTTACAAATTCTTAAACTTTTCACAAACTTATTTTTCTGTAATACATCATCACGAATGGCCATTGTATTATTAGTTATCTGTAAAAGCAAGTTTTTAGTGGTCATTATTGTATTCCACAAAATCTTGTAACTCTTCCAGTTAGTGAGTCAAATTATTAAATCATGTCACTCATTTGATAAACTGTTTTTTTTGTTTTTTGTTTTTTGTTTTTGTTTTTTTGTTTTTTTTGTTTTTTTTTTTTTGGTTCTTACGAGACAGGGTTTCTCTGTATTATTTTGGAGGCTTTTGGTCCAGCCTGGCCTCGAACTCACAGAGATCCGCCTGCCTCTGCCTCCCGAGTGCTGGGATTAAAGGTGTGTGCCACCACCGCCCGGCTTGATAAACTGTTTTTATGTTTCTAAACTATCTATTCTGTTAAATCTTATTTAATTATCTCCATGTCTATGTGATGCCTTCTCAAGTTAGTCTGTTTCTTAGTTAAAGGCTAGTCCTCATTTTATATCTTAGGATGTAGAATAGCAAACTTACTGAATAGTTAATTCCCTTTTTATCCTAATATATTGATCACAACATTCAATCCAACTACCTGATATTTCTTTGTCAGGCAGATATAATAAATATTCCAGAAATCTCCCACAAACCCCTTGGATAATTGATGGAGAAAGGAAAATGGAATCTTCGGTGGAGGAATTAATTTCAGATCACCTGCTGGCAGCATTCAAAGCAGAGAGTAAGTGTTACGGTGCTCATGTTCTACATCCACTGTTACTCATGAGTAGATTCTTCTAGGCAGTCATACCCCAGTCTGGGCACCCTTCATATGCAGGGCTTTTGGGCTCAGGCTTGGAGATGCCCAAAGGTACCTGTCCTTTCTCAGTGACTGCTGTCTCCTGGGAAACTCAGAACAACCAAGACTGCTTTAGACAAACCCACTAAGCCCTAACCTTGGCATGCCTCAGCCTTAGATTCTTAGGGGGGACTGCGAAGAAACCCTGGTTTTTATGCCCAGGGCTTGTTCAAGAGTAGAGCTGGCTTCTTTCTGCCCTAACCTACAGAGTGATTTGGGATGAAGTTCATGACCAGAGAAAATAGATCAAGAACAACCATTTTACAGAAGTTTTGTGGGGTGAAGTGTGTTTTAATTTCCTATTAATGAGCCATGTTTATGGGATGAGTCAGGTCTGGGAAGCCTATGTTCTTCCTGTCTCAACAGGCCTGTAAGTCAGGCAGCTTAGAGTCTGTGGCTTGTGTGGGATGTGGGAGAGGAAGGAAAAGGTCTAAGATGTCTGTTGTAAAGAAAAGCTGCAGCAGTGGGCAATGTTAGCCTTTGCAGTGGGGCTTCCAGCACAACAGAGGTCTTTGATGGAACAGCAGGCACTGCCTTTCTCAGACACACGCTCCAGAGTCAAGCAAAGGCCTAGGCAAGCACTGGCCGTCCCTTCTGACTTGTTAGGAAGAAAGCATCACTTTAAACCACACCTCCTTCGTGATTTAGTGTCTGTCATGGTGAGCTCTCCTTTTCTACTTGTCTTTATTATTTCTCTCATGTTTCTGTGCTGGTACTTGCGCACGAGTGTAGGTGTCATTAGGGCCCATGCATCTGGAGTTCCAGAGAGCCGAGTTGTACCGTGTGAGTGCTGAGAACTCCTCTCGAGAGCACTGCACTCTTAACTGCCGTCTCTCCAGAACCTGCCCCCAGGGGTTATACAAATTGTTCTCTTCTGTGGATGTGTGCAAATAGGGGTGCATGTAACGGTCAGAGGTCAGTGTTGGCTGTCTTCCTCAGCAGCTTTCCACCTCATTTTGTGAGACAAGGCCACCCTGTACTTGGAGCTCACCAAGTTGGCTGGACTGGCTAGCTAGCCAGTGAGCTCCAGGGTTCTGCTTATGTTCACCACACCCACCAAGTGGTAGGGCTACACATGCATGTTGTCACACTTCACTTCTTTTTAAGATTTTTATTTTTAAAACGATGTATATGTGTTTGTGAGTGTGTATGTGTGTGTGTATAAATGTGTGTATGTATGTGTATGAATGTGTATGTGTGTGTATGAATGTGTGTGTATGTGTGTGTATGAATGTGTATGTGTGTGTGTATGAATGTGTGTGTATGTGTGTGTATGAATGTGTGTGTATGAATGTGTATGTGTGTGTGTATGAATGTGTGTGTATGTGTGTATATGAATCTGTGTGTATATGTGTGTGTATGAATGTGTGCGTACAGGTGTGTGTGTATGTGTGTGTATGAATCTGTGTGTATGTGTGTGTATGAATGTGTATGTGTGTGTGTATGAATGTGTGTGTATGTGTGTATATGAATCTGTGTGCATATGTGTGTGTATGAATGTGTGCGTACAGGTGTGTGTGTATGTGTGTGTATGAATGTGTATGTATGTGTGTGTAGCGGTGTGTGCACATGAATGCTGTGCTTATGGGGGATAAGAGCATTGTGGCCCTTGGAGCTGGAGTTCTGGGTGTTTGTGAGCCACCTGATGTTCTAAGAGCAGCAAGTGCTCTTACTGTGGAGCCGTCCCTGCAGCTAGACACTCCGTGCTTACGCAGTGCCGGGCCTGGGAACTAGACTCTTAGTGCTTACACAGTACAGGGTTGTGAACTAGGCTCTCCATGCTTACATGGTGTGGGTTGGTGAACTAGATTCCTCATGCTTATACAGGAGGCACGTGACTCAGCTGTTTCCCTAGCTGCGATGAATTATTTTCCGAATAGAGAAAAAAGTGACAGAATCCTACTATTTTCCAGTTTTTTAGGAAAAGGACTTGTTATAAACTTTTACTTACTTAAAATAAGCTCAGAGTAAAAGCGTCTGTTGGGCCGAAGCATCGCCCAGCGTGCACTAGGTTCTGGCTTTGCATCATAGCACTGTACCAAAGAAACAAGTCTTGCTCATTTGGGGCGGGGACTTCCTCACTTCTTTTCCATGAGAATTCAGGGGTCTTCAGTTTGGACTCTGTAGGTCCCGAAGAAGCCCCTCACTTCTTCAGGGCTCAAGGACTGCTGGAGGCTCTGAAACTCCCCTTTCAGGTTTTCATGAAGGTATATGTAGTCATTTTCCTCTTGAAGGGGACAACACTGTCCCCCAACTGAAAATAAGGCGAACTGTGAGCCGAAGATGTAGCTCAGTTGCCCCGGGATCGATTCCCAGCACCAGTAAGTTAGGCATGGTGGCGCAGGCCTAGAATCCTGGTACTTGGAAGGTAGAGACAGGAGAACCAGAAGTTTAAGGTCATCCTTACTAAATAGTGAGTTTGACATCAGGCTGGGCTCACCAAGACGCTGTCTCAAAACAACGAAACACAAGCCAGGTGGTGGTGGTGGCAGCGGCACACACGCCTTTCATCCCAACACTCAGGAGGCAGAGGCAGAGGCAGTGTGATCTCTGAGTTCCAGGACAGTCAGGGCTACACAGTGAGACCCTGTCTCAAAACAACAACAAAACCCTAACACATGAGAGGAAAGCAGATTGTATGCTCCATGTGTTCTCCGAGAAAACTGATTAAGAGCAGCCGCCTTCTGGGAGGGTGCTAACTGCTCATATGTGCGGGGTGGGTAGCAGAAGCTTGTTCAGAGTTCCTGACTGATAACAGCATTTGCCAGACGTATTTCTCAGCTGGGTGACATGTTATTTCCGACCAGTGGTCCCTACCTGTAGGCCCTGGGAAGATGAATTTAGCAGTTGCCTCCTTGAGTTTGAGAGCTAGGTGAGCAGCTATTTTCATGACAACCATTCTGCTCCTCAGGAGGACACACAAGCTTGTCTCTCCTTGCTTTGAGCTGGCACAGCCTCCTAGGTGCTTGCTAACTAAGTCCGTAGTTAATGAATGAGTAGTAAGTACTGAAAATCAATGAGTTTAAGAAGTCTTTCCCTAATACTACATGTACTACTTTACTTACTGACTAAAGTGTTTGTTGGGTCAGTTCCCTGTGGGCACGATGAGTTACAAGGTGAAGTCCAGGCTGTGTGTCTTGGTATTCTGGAACCTTCAGTCATCTGGCACCTCCCTGGGTCTGAGAGCCACTGTATAGGTTAACTACTCAACAGTCCCAGATAATTATTGCTCTGCATTTTGTTTTTGGCATGACCTTTCCTTCAAGGACATGCTTAAAACCCGTGACAATTTAGGTTCAGAAAAGTACATTTTAAGCGTGTATCCTCTGGTACTAAAGACTTTTTTTCAGCTCTTCCTCATCATATGCTCTATAAAGTTTTAAGGTCTTTCTGCTACAAATGATTTCTACTCTAGGGCCCAAGCTGTTTTCTTAGGTTTCAAGCTTGAGGCACTTCTAAAAGGGAGCTGGTGACATGCTCAGTGACAAAAGGTAATGTTGTTAAGATTGATGGCCTGAGTTTGGTCCCCAGCTCCCACACGATGGAAGGAGAGAATGACTCTACAAATTGTCCTCTGACCTCCACATGTACACCACAGAACATGTTCGTACTCACACACATCACACATACACACATATACACATGTAATACTAAGAAATAGAATAAAGGGTAAAACATAGAATTGTGCTCATAGTGCAGGGGTGTTCTTACATTTGTTTCCTGCCCTGTGTCTACATGTCAAGTTATGCTCTCCAATTCGCCAGGAATGGTGACTCTGAATATGGGGCTGTGTCTACCTTGTCTACCCCTGTCTTTCTATCATCAAGCAGTATTGCCACAGTAGGCATCCTGAATGAATACTCTGATGCTTTTGTGCACAGAGCCCTGCTGGCCTCCTTCCTCTTTGAGCAGAGTCATTGTACAGACTACCCAGGGTTCTCAGCCCTCCAGCCCTTCTCAGCCCTCTGCTGGGTGGTCCTGTGTAACCTGGGTTGACTAGTTCTGGTGTCAGAATGCCTGAGCCACCAGCCTTGCTACCAGACCTGCGTTTCTTACTGTGGTGTGATTTTTGGCAATGGATGCGTCCTGCCTGTCTCACTTTCCTTAGAAGGAAAATGAAAACAGTGCCAGTGGCAACCTGTTTTAAAGCGCTTGGAGTGACAGCTGCTGAAGTCTGCTGTGGTGATGAGGTCTCCCGTTTGATCTGTATCTGTGTGCATTGTTATGTAGATCCTTGAAACTTTTCCCTGTTGGACATCTCAGCTTTTGGTCTGTGATGATAAATTCTTCTTGGATTGTACAGTGGTTTTAACATGGGTCCATGTTGGGTTTGGTTATATAATCAGTTTGCTATTTAAAGGTCAGACCTTTCTTCTCTCACTCTTTTTCCATGGAGTTTAATTTTAACATGACTACCCTTGTTGTTTTGCTTGCTTGCTTTAAAGAAAAGACAAAGTTTTTGCTATAATCCAGTGGTCAGGGAGGTGGGATCTTCCTTCCAGCCTTGCCTTTCTTTGAGATGGATGCTAGTTAAACTCTGGCTTTGACGTCAGAAATATATAGCTCTGCCACTAGATTGTTTGACCCTGGGAATATTGCCTAAATCTATGAAGTATATTTATTTAATGCTTCATGAAGATATAAGATTAAATGATGTGTATAATTTTACCCGAGTACCTGACATATAATGAGTAGTACTTACTATTATCATTATTGTTTTAGCCAAGACTGAGATTAGAGATGGAGTGATCATTATCCCTTGAAGCCCCTCCCATGGATTGCTGGGACCACACAGTTGGGTTTCTGCCGGTGGTTGGGGAAGAGTAGACTATGGCTGCTGCCTCTCATCCTTCTTCTCTTGTTTTGCTTCTTACAGGTTTTAATTTCTCATCCTCTGGGAGAGAAGATGTAGACGTGAGAACATTAGGAAATGGTAAGAAGGCGGGAGCGCCACCTGACTAGAAGTGGCTGGGGCTGCTCCCTTGCAAGGCAGAGGCTCACTGGAGCCACTTAGAGCCAGTGGGAGAGCCCAGGCCGCTCCAGAGGGGGAGCCTGTGGGTCGTGTGGCTGTCTCTGCAGACTACCATTTGTGTCTGAACAGCAGTCACTTCTTCAGAGGCCTCCTTCTCACAGGCCTTAAGCTGCAATGGACTTGCATGTGCACTAGGACATATTTTTCCCTCAAAATTTGTTAGTTACCCCATTTAAGAACTTTCCAGACCAGTTGGTGGTAGCCCATGTGTCCCTCAGGAGGCAGACGCAGGCAGGTCTCTGAGTTCAAGGCCAGCCTGGTCTACAGAGCGAGTTCCAGGACAGGCAGGACTATGTAGAGACCCTGTCTCAAAAAATAAAGAAAGAACACCTTAGAAGTTACCAGTTTTCAATGTGTCTGTCTTTATTTCAAAATCACTCTGCTCTTCCAGCCGTCATTTCCCTCTCTGCTTTATCTTGTTGAGTTATAAGAAAGATAATGAGAATTAATTCTGAGCTGTTTGATGTTTGTCCTTCCTTCCCCTTGTGGGATCACAATTGTTCCATGTCAGTAGTAGATTAACTAGGAGAATGGATCTCACCTTGTTATGTCTGGGCATTGCTCTCTGTGACAACTTAGTCCCATTATTGTAACCAACTTAATTAGTGGCTACTTAAATTTTATTTTGTAGTTACCACAGGCTTGTTTGTGGACCACTGGGAAGGCAGTCATTTTCACATACTGCCTGTACAGGGTTTAGCAATCTTCCTGCTCTAGTCCCCCAAAAGCCCCTGTATTCTTTCCACACATTCTCCCTCCCCCAGATGTAGTCATGTCAGTAAACTTTCAGTCCTCTAGAGCCCAGCCCTTTTCTCACACCTCCTCCATTTGCCCAAATGTTAACTCCATCAACACATTTCTGTTTCATGATGGGCGTGCACTGCCAGGAAGGCCTTTTGCAGTGGAGCTGCTGAATCCTCACAGAGTGCATTTCACTTCACAAGAAGTCAAGGAGCTCCAGCAGGTAAACGCTTACGTGGAGGCATCATGTTTGTGCAACCCTGCGACTGGGCTAGAGTTGACAATTGTTTTTCTTTCTCTGCTGCTGCAGAAAATTAATAAATCATCTGACAAAATCCAAGTACGTGATTTGCAGCTTGTCACCAGGTGAGGCTGGGCGTGCGGGAGAGATTCCAAAAGGGAAGTTTTCAGAGAACATGTATTTGGTAAGGGAATTGCATACAGGGTATATTAAGAAAAAAAATCTGACTCCAATTAAGAAACGGGAAAATGATGAAGTAGACATTTCTTCAAGGAGGATGTCTGGGTAGCCCGTGAACATGAAATAGTGCCCAGCATCTTACACTTACCGTGCAGGCCAGAGCTACTGTGAGCCGAGGGTTCACTCCGCACCCATCGTAAACAATAAAGTAGAGAGTGCTGGCCAGGGCACAGAGGAACTGCCGTGCGCTCGGCTAGTGGGGGAATGGCTGGGATAGTCTGCCAGAGACTCAAACCTGAGCTGCCCATGTGGCCTGGCAGTCCCGCTTGTAGGCAGAAACTACATCTACAACAGAAATGAAAATGTACATAACCAAAGGTCACACATGGGTGCTCATAGTAGTGCTTTCACAAAGCAGAGAAGTAGCCAGTGGTAGCACAGGCCTGTAATTCTAATTAGAAGGCCAGTGCCAGAAGGAGGCCAGCCTGGGATATGTAAGACTGTTATATCAAAAAAAAAAAAAAAAATTAGATACCACTTGTGTTTCTATAGAAAAACACAATGTGAAACTGTTGTCCCTTTTTATCCTTGAAAGATGTGTTTCAAGACTTGCGGCAGACACCCGAGACTGCAGATAATACTGAATCCTATAAATAGTATGCTTTTCCTGTAATTGACGACAAGGTTTGACTAAAAAAAACTGAGCACAAGTCAGGACCAGAGAGAGCACTGGCTGTTCTTGCAGAGGACCTGGGTTCAGTCCAGCACACACGGTGACTCACAACCTGTAACTCCAGCTCTGGGGCATCCGACTCCCTTTTCTGGCCTCCAAGACTACCAGGCACTCATGTGGCACACGTACATACATGTAAGCACTCACACATACACATAAAATGAAGATAATGCTTTAAAGAAAATAAACTATAAAAGAATAATAGCTAATAATGAAACAGGACAATTGTAGCAATATACTAAAATTTAAAAAAAGATAATTATCAGTTCCCTGTTTTGAGCTTTTGCACACAATACTTTTGGTCTGAGGTTGACAGCATGCAAAGTGGATCCTCCAGTGTAGTATGATTTGTTTTGTTTATCTTGAAAATGAAGAGGTATGGAACACTGACTCATAGTGCACCACAGGTGCGCCGTGACCTTGACGGTGCTATGACTAGACAGAAAGCAGTCGCCACTCTGGGATCACACCTGGTAGGAAATGTTCAGAGAAATGATAAAGACAGAATGACAGGTAGTGAGAGATCATCCTGGGCTTGGGAAAGAGAGGGAAGAAAGTGCTGATGGGTATGGAGGGTCCTTCTGGGGGCAGTGGACGTGTCGTGAGTTAGATCATACTAGAAACAATAAAATGCATAGAGTGTGCCATGTAACTGGGGTGGGGGAATGTATGTAAGTTACACCTCCGCCAGGCTGTTGTGAGGGAGCCGAGGTCTGGGACAAGGGTTATGTGTGTTGCATGCGTTGAGACAAATTTTCCTTTGTCCTTGGTGTTTAGAGAGGCGCTAGGGTACATGAAGGAGGGTGAAGAAGAGAAGACCAAAACCTACAGTGCCCTTGTATGGACGAGTAGAGCAATACAGAGGAAGGACATTGGATTTCTAGACGACCTGAAGGTACCTTACCTGCGGCTTTTGTTTGTTTCATTTTCCTTCTGCATGTCAAAGCCCACTGTGCTCTAGTTTATTACCAGCAAGCCACTGCGCCCGCATTCGAATCCCGGTTTTCCAGTTCACTGGCGGAGTGCAGGTGCCTACCAAACTCTTTGGAGAAGCAGTGTTTCGATGATGGCTGGTGACGCATGCCCTTAAAACCAGCGAGTCAGAGGAGGTGGATCTTTTGAGTTCAAGTCCAGCCAGGCCTACACAGAGCAACATGAAAAAGTCATGTTGCTGACTCTGAAGACAGATTCATCGGGAAACCCTGGGTCTGCATTTTGTAGTTGTGCGACTCCAGACAAGCTCCTTAGCCTCTATGCTTCATCTGTGAAATTAGGTTAGAAAAACTAAATTAGTTCAATTGTACAAAGCATTTCAAATGGCACCAACCGCATAGAAAATACGCAGTAGTACTATTCTATTTGGTTATCTGTTTAATATAAAATAACATGTATTTAATAGAATTGATACTAAAATTGCATATGTGAGTGAATATCATGTAATAATTATGTGAAGCACATGTATTTTGTAAGCATGCCACTGTAAAGGTCCCACTTGTTCTGTAGACTAGTTTCAGTGGGTAAGAGCACTTGCTGTGCAAGCATGAGGACCCGAGTCTGCACCTCAGCTCCATGTTAGAAGCAGGCATGGCCGTGTGTGCCTTAACCCCAAAGCTGTGGGCAGAGACAGGAGGCGCTAGTGACAGACAGGACACCTGTGGTCCTACTGTCCTGTGCATACACCAGAGGGACAGGGAGAGAGAGAGGATTCAAATGCAAGGACTGTGTGAGCATAAATGAGCACAGATGTGAGTGGTCGTATAACAGTTTTCCTACCCGGATCTTTAAAATCATGTAGTAGAGTGGGGTGTGGTGGCTCAGAAGAACCAGGCAGGAGGATCACAAGTTTGAGGCCAGCCTGGGAAGCATAGCAAGACTCTGTTGCAAAGAACCAAATTACGTACAGTGATACTGCTAACATAGGGGAATTGTTATCCCAAGTGCTAAGGGGAAAGCTATAGGATTAACCAGTGGGTAATGCCTCTGATTTCAGCACTCAGATGTGCTGTGTGTACACACGTATGTGTGGCTACGTAGAAAACAATATGGCGCCAGGCAGTGGTGGCACACGCCTTTAATCCCAGCACTCGGGAGGCAGAGGCAGGCGGATCTCTGTGAGTTCGAGGCCGGGCATGACCGACAGCCTCCAAAACAATACAGAGAAACCCTGTCTTGTGAAAAGAAAAAAAAAAAGAAAACAATATGGCAAAGTTTTCATAAATAAGATTGATACTTTGTCATGGAAAGTATAGTACTGAATAGATAAAAATATGAATAAAGGGTCTGAGTAGATGGTTGAAAAGGAACAGCTCCAAATGGCCCAGCATCATTTGGAGGACTGTTCCACCTCCAGGACAAAGTAATATATGACATGACTTCATTTCCTTAAAGCAGTAAAGCAGACGGTGGGTGTAGTAAGAGCGAGGGAGTTGAAGACATGGAAAGTGTTTGACTTGGAAGGCAGTGGCAAGGACTGTAAAAAGGAAGACAGTATTGATGTCCCCACACCTTCTATTGACAACCTCACCACAGGGGCATGGCTCCCGTGTAAGGAGATGCACGACAGGAGGCTTTCTGACTTAGTTCAAAGAGGCAGAATCAACAATGTCAAAACTGGAGAGAAAACGCTGTTAGCTGGGTGCAGTGGCCCGGCCCATAAAGGGTGTGACTTCAGGGCCAGCCTGGACTGTGACTTCAGGGCCAGCCTGGACTGTGACTTCAGGGCCAGCCTGGACTGTGACTTCAAAGAGCAAGCAAGCTAACCAACAAAAGCTTTGAACGAGCTCGTGGTAGAACGGACAAGCATCTCGTAGCTATCAAAAATAAAACGGGAAGCGGGCTATGACTTCCCTTAATCCAGGTTGGGTTAGTGTGTCTATGCATATCAAAATGTTGAAGACAGGCAGTGTCTGAGTCTGCCTCACAGACGCAAGCGAAGTCACGGGTGTGAGTGCTGCAGGGAAAGCACACTTCATTTGTCCCCAAGACACCTGTCACCTCCACAGGCTTTGTGCTCTGCTCCTGCCCAGGGCCTTCAGGAGAGAGTTTGGGTTTGGTTTTGTGTAATTGAGGCAGGTTGTCATGTAGCCCAGACTGACCTCAAACTCCACTGCGCAGCCAAGGATGGTGCTGCACTTCCAATCTCCTACATAGGGCTGCTGAGTGCTAGGTTCCTGGTGTGTGTCACTATACCTGTTTTCTGTGCTCTGCTAGGCACTGAGCCCAAGGGTGTCAGGCATGCTATTCAGGCACTGGACCAAATGAGCCACATCTCCAGCCCCAGATAAGTAGGTGCAATACACACATACCTTTAAGAATGCAGACAGATTTATGGACTTTTGTAAATCATGTATTCCTTCATAGATGTATAAATCAGCTGGATATAATGGTGCACACCTTGGGAAGCAGGGACAGATAGATCCCTGAGTTCAAGGCCTGCCTAGTCTTCATTGTGAGATCCTGTCAAAAACCCAAACAAAAACTTGTTTGCTCACCAAAAATGCACCAAAAATACAGATGTATAAATCATTTAGAATACTGTTAAAAAAGAAATGTATTAAATTTATTAAAGAAATTTGTTAAAAAGAATAGGTTTGGGGGCTGGCATTGGAGGCTCAGTGAAAAATGAATCCATTAAAAATGGATTCAAGGGCTGGGGATACGGCTCAGTGGCAGGGTGCTTGCCTAGTGCAAGGCCCTGGTTTTGTTTCCCAGCACTGCAAAAACATAGCAAAAAAGCCTCAGTTCGGGGGATTGCTGTATACCTAACTAAAAAGTGACGTAGAAAGGTGGTTTGATGGGGACATTGGAAGTGGTAAGAGACCACTCCCAGGTGCACTGCTGGGGCCTGCTTCGTTTCTAGTAACACTGTTACACTTTACAGAATTCCCATGGGCTTAGAGATAAAAGCTGAGTTACTTCTCTATTCTGAGAACAAAAAGCGCTGCAGACTCACCGCTTGCCTCCTGTTTTTAAAGGGCAGCTACTTCTAAGGAAAAACTGTGTTTGTGTGTGTTTCTGAAAATTCAGCAGTGTGGGGTAACACAGTAAGGGCTAAGAGTGGGTGTAATGGTTTCCTTTTGTAATCTAAAAAGCAGACCAAAAAGGACACATGGGCATGGGTGCTGAGGGTGCTGTGTTAATGACACATGGGCATGGGTGCTGAGGGTGCTGTGTTAATGACTCTTGTGATTGGTTCACAGTCAGTCCCCGGAAAGGAGTTCTCACTGGGTAGCTTCACTTGTTTACTTGTTTGTTTGTTTGTTTGTTTGGCTGTCTGTTCATCCATCCATCCATCCATCCATCCATCCATCCATCCATCCATCTATCTATCTGTTCTCTTTTTGGACAAGGTGTTACCATGTAGCTCTAGCTGTTCTGGGATTCACTCTGTAGACCAGGCTGACCTCAAACTCACAGAGACTCACCTGCCTGTGCCTCCAGAGTGCTGGGATTAAAGGCCTTAGCTGCTAATTTAAAGGCTGGCTGTTTCTGAGTCTCTATATACATTATTATAACTCTTCACCACAGTTCATTCTTGAAAATATTTGTCTTTTTGGCTGGAGAAAAGTCAAGCCCCATAGAGACAGCTCATCTCATAGGAATTGTAGAATCATCAAATCACAGTGGGGTGGGGCCGTTGACTCCTGCTCTTGTGGGTCAGGCGTGCCTTCCAGTGTGCTCTTGCTCAACTCGTTCTTCCTTGGTGCTAGAAGGGAATGCAGGCTGGAGGAGCCTTTCCCTCCTCAGCAGAGCCACAGCTGCTCACTCATGCAAACCTGGAGCTGTTCCAGCAACAGACTGCAGACTTCTTAAGAGCCAACTTGTCTGCTTTGTCTAAAATCTATTTTTAAAAGTTTGAAATAGCTGACCTTTTATAGTATTAATCCCTAGTTCTTAATTTATATCACCTAATATGTAGGGAAATCTCTAATTTGATGTAATTATAAGAAAAAGCAGTCTATATCACTGAAAAAAATGAATTGTGAAGATATGTACAAATATTATTTTCGTAAAGCTGGGCTAAAAACTACTGGAAGACTTATTTATAATCGACATATGGAAGCATCTTGCTGGCACTGCTGCACTTTTCCCTGATACAGTCTATTGTACAGCAAACCCCAAAACAGGTGCATGCCACTTCGTAAAATGCGCACACTTCCCGCATGCACGAGTGACAGGTCCGCCTCTGCCTGCTACTTCTCCTCCAGTCCACAACCCTCACTTCCACGGCAATCACCTGTGGCATTAGAAAACACAGGTAACAATGCTGTCTTCTAGCAAAGTCCTAAGCCAGAATCCTGGCTGATGTGTGAAATGTCAGGGCAGAAGTGCCCTCAGGATCATCCCCTTCCTGTGATAGGGTAGTGGTGTTCAGACGGTGAGCTAGAGCCTAAGGAGGGGCAGCTGGGTCTGGGCCCCATCCTGCTCTGACGTGATGGGAACTAATGTGGTGAGCTCCGGGTGGCTGTGTGACTGCACCATATCCTCCTCCAGGACTTAAAGATTGACCAGAAAACACCTCTCCGGGTCCTTCACCGAAGGCCTTTGGCTGTGAGAACTCGGGCCATTCATTCTATGGAGACGCACTACCTGGATGAGCATCATTTCCGTCTGTATCTGAAGACCCAAGCTGGAACGTATCCTTTTGCCTGTGCATCGCAGAGACCCAACCAGAATGGGGTCCTGGTAGTTAATGCTGCCCGGGAAAGAGGGTCAGTTGATTGAGATGTTTCTCTTTGTTAGAGATGTGCTCTTGTGAACCCAGGGGTCACATGTACTCCAGGCTGGCCTTGAACTCCTGATCCTCCTGCCTCCACCTCTCAAGTGCTGGGATTACAGGCCTGTGCCACCTCTGGTGGTCTGGGACATTCTGGAAAGGATTTGTGTGTATTCATCTAATATTTTGGAATCAATACTTTTTTGTTTGATGTCTGTTTTCCCATTTGTGTTTCAAAACAGTGTTTTAAACCATGAAATGTCCATCAGTTAATTCAATGGCAACTTTTAAAATTTACAGTTCTGGTTGGGTGATGGTGGCGTACTCCTTTATCCCAACACTCGGGAGGCAGAGGCAGGAGGATATCTGAGTTCAAGGCCAGCCTGGTCTACAGAGCAAGTTCCAGGACAGCTAGGGCTATTACACAGAGAAACCCTGCCTTGAAAAACAAAAACAAACTGCAAACAAAAATTTACAGTTCTGTTACAGTGTCTTACCCATTGTTTAGTACATAATATACTCAGAAAGTACTTTTAATTGATTCATTTGCTATCTTTACACATTTTGCAAGTCACATGTTCATAACCCTATTTGGTCCTCTAAGTGTAAATGGAATTCTTAATTGGTCTACCTAATATAAACCCGGAGTCAGATATAGAGAAAAATGCTGAGTGATCAGAGAGAAGGAGCAAGACACATCACACCTTACCTCGTTAGCGTCTTAGCAGACAAGTGAGTTCCTGTTTCTCCATGCTTATATCCTGTTTCCATCTAGCTACCTCACTTCCTGTCTGTCTGTACAGACCTCCAGACCTCTATGGTTAGCTAGTGACGAGCTCCATTCTCTGACCTTCAGAAAGGCTTTATTTGTACAAGTGAGATATCACCACATAAAGTATTTCAAGTGTTTCCCCAATTGATTACACATAGGTGATAGAAGGAAACAGGGGTATTTTACTGTTTTGAAAATTTGAGACAAGTGCTCACCATGTTCCCAGGCAGGCCTATGTATAGGCCTGTGTGAAAACACAACCCAAAGATGGTTGTTGGTGGCACACGCCTTTAATCCCAGCACTCAGGAGGCAGAGGCAGGTGTGAGTTTGAGGTCAGCCTGGTCTACAGAGCGAGTTCCAGGACAGCCTCCAAAACAATACAGAGAAACCCTGTCTTAACCCCCCCCCCAAAAAAGGAAAACACAACCGGAACACTACATATCACCTACTTAAGTAATGACATGTAGTGTTAGGACAGAGTTCAAAACTCCAAAATTTTAAATAGAAAAGATTGGAACTGGACGCTTTAAATACCTTGTGCTGAAGCGGGTACTTTGTTTATAACATGTTCCAACCTGTGGCTCTGGGCCCCAAACCAGGGTTCGAATAGAGCGTGTCAGAGAGCCAGTGTCTCAGGCTTAGTGCAGTATTCACTGTCTTTTAGGACTGCATCTCACTGTGACTCCTAGGCTGTTCCTGATCTCAAGATTCTGCCTCTGCCTTCCAGGTGCTAGGATTACAGGCATGTCTCACCATGCCTGGTTTTCTTATTGCTCCTCCCAACTGTGTGTGAGCATGTGAGCGTGTGTGTGTGTGTGTGTGTGTGTGTGTGTGTGTGTGTGTGTGTGTGTGTGTTCCAGTGGAATGAAATGATAAATCTCTTCTAATTGGTATGCAGGTAGTGACATAGTTCTGTATACAACACAAACCTCTCCGGAGTGGGAGGAGTCGAGGGCTAGTCACCACATTGCTGTAACTAGTGTGCCTCTCCTCTTAATCATCTTTCCTTTCCTTTAGGCCACCTTGAAGTGGCCTGGGTTGACCAGGCTATTACTCCAGATAGCTTTTCAGTTTTGCGGTTTGAATCAGGGATGATTTGTGTAGACTCTGGTGGGCAGCTTATTTCATCTTTATTGTTTGTACACATTGGCTGCTGTAGATGGAATTCAAAGAAATCACAAGTGTTAAAGTTTATTTTGATTTTTTTGTTGGGGTCTGACATGTTAAGTACGTGTCACAGCATTGAGCTTCACACCCTGCTTTAGATTATAAAAAAAATAAAATAAAATTAACCCTGCCTTTAATTTTACATGCCAAGAAGAAAAGTTCTTTGTCTTTTGGAAAAGCTAACACCTTTTGAATCGCATTAAGACAGTTTTGGAAACAGCTACGTACATGTACTTAATATGTTAGCCAAGAAGAACTGGTAAAGCAGTAGATGCCGTGTGGTTCTGATAGAAGTGTCCGCCCTTTATGCACTCAGTTCATCTCGTGCTCTCAGTCTCGTGTGGCTCGGCACCTGGAAGCGGGCTCTTAGCCTCCATTGTCACCCGCCAGCATGCAAACGGTTCCCACCTTCCCATTGCTCTGGGGCACCTTGGTCTGCTTCTTTCTTTATTACTGGCTTTCTCTAAAAATCAGAGAAACAGAATGGCAGTTGAAGAGGAATTATGAATTCAGGGGAAGAAAGCTACTGGATAATTGTATGGCTTCTGTTTGAGTTAAAACACGTAGTGGGTAAGTAGGTGAAGAAAGTTTTTACATTGCTTCCTAGCCAGTGCTTGAGGATGCGTTTGTTTCCCTGCACAAATGCCATTAACTGTCTAAGCTGAATTCTGTTTTACTAATGCAGTGTTTTTGTTATTGTTTCTTAGTGAAATGGGAAAGATGTGTATTTTTCAGATAATGTCAGGGCTACAGTATCTTATTAGGAACAAATTCCAGCTCTAACCATTGTCTTCAAAATAGAAACCTATGAAGAGAACACAAAGTTGCTAAAACCAACCCATAAGAGTTTAGCAGGTGTGGTGGCCCTAGATTGCTCTGCTCAGGACAGCCTGGATCCTACAGTGGTTCCACGGCCAGGTTGGGGTACATGGCAAAACATTTAGAAGCATACATGCAGAAAGACTAAAAGCAAACAAAATCAAACAAGCAAAAAAAACCCACCTTCATTCTCTTTTTCTCAACTGCCTGTAGCTGCAGCCTCAGGGAGGGACCCCACTCCCTTTTCTGACCTCTGCCGGTCATGCATGCATGGTGTACAGTCACAACACACACATGCGTGTGTAAATAATAAATATAAGTTGATTTTAAAGAAGACTAAATTAGAAATTCAACTCTCCTTTCCGTCTTGATGCCAGTATGTTACCAGGGGCCACGTTGTTGAGGTCACTTTCTGTGTGGTCCTGTGGAAACTTACCATTTGGTAGATGCCAATTGCCATTATTGAAAAATGGGATCAGATATTTAAAAAAAAAAGGTTAAAAAAACAAAAGCTTTGGGTTGAGCATGGCGGCGCATGCCTTTAATCCCAGTACTCAGCAGGCAGAGGCAGGTGGATCTCTGAGTTTGAAGTCAGCCTGGTCTATGAGTTGTAGGCTATGTCTACACAGTGAGATACTGTCTCAGAAAAGCGGGGAGAGGACATTGAACTATATAGTTGATTTAATGTGTACCAAACCTTGGCATTTTGAGACGAGCTAAGAGAAAACCAAAGCTGGGGTGGGGAGTGCCAAGGCTTCCCATCTCAGCACTTGGAAGGTGGAAGCAGGAGGGTACAGGTCAAGTTCATGTAGCCTGGCTGACGTGATGCCCTGCCTGAAGCAAGGCAAAGCCGTGGTGGGTCTGATGTAAACAGAGGTTCCGGTTACTATGCTGGTACCCAGGCCGCTGGAATCCAGGCTGGTGAGATGCAGCTCATTCTCTGAGATACGCAGCTCAAGTCTGAGTTTAGAAATGGCATCCATTGTGTAATGTTTCTTATTCTATTTGTTTTTCCTTCCACTTGCCAAGCTAGTTGGTACTGCATGGCCTTTTCCTTAACAGACCTAGCTACATTAAAGAATTTGTACATGGAGACTTTGGGAGAACCAAGCCGAATATTGGCTCTCTGATGAACGCGACTGCAGACATTCTTGAGCTAGATGTGGAGGTAAAGTGTTTCATGGGGGAGTGCACATCTGCAGATAAAATTCAGCCAGATTAGGTCTTTTGACACTAAGCCAAATAGCACTACCAGTCTCCATGGGTATTTTTTATGCAATGGTTTCTTTGTTTTGTTTTGGAGTTTTAAGATTTACTTTCTTTTGTATGTATGAATGTTTTGTCTGCATGTATGACTGTGCACCACATGTGTCTGGTGCTCCTGGAGTTGAGAAGAGGGCGCTGGGAATGGAGCGCAGGTCCTCTGGAAGAGCAGTGGGTGCTCTCAACCACTGAGTCATCTCTCCAGCCCGCTCTAGCTGTGTAGCCCGGGGAAGAATTCCCTTTGTAATTATTTCAAGCAAACATCAAAGCAGGATCCATTTGTGATGCCTGGGGATTATATGATTTACTGATTGGAATCAGGTACTGTCATTTATGAATTTACCTATGGTATCAGGTTAGACCCTTAAAGAAAACAAGAAAATACATTTTAACTTCCTCATGTATCCTTCTGAATCTAGGGTTGTGTTTTATATAGAATTTTAGAGCTGGGCATGGGGATCCACAGCTTGAATCCCAGCACTTGAGAAACAGAGGTGGGTGGATCTCTGAGCTCGAGGCCAACCTGGTCTACACAGGTATTCCCAGGACATGGCTCTTGTGGCAGCCAGGGCCCACTGTCCAGATTTTAGGAGCCTCATGAGGCTGTCATAAGGAGACAGCTCAGTGTCACAGAAGGTGCCAAAGCACATTTGCTTTTTTTTTTTTTAATGGTTATCCAATACCAAATGGTCAGTCCTAGAGACATATACAAATAACACTACACAACCTGAGCAGGTTCTGTTTAGAGGTGTGTGTGTATACATTTATGTGTGTATTTAGCAACGATTAGTGGCAATAGAGGCCATGAATTTGAAAGAACAAGGAAGATTATAGGGGAGGGTTTGGAGGGAGGAAAGGGAGGAGAAAACGGTGTGGTTATATAGATTATATAGAACAGATAGCTTACTGTGACTTGAATCTGGAGGGGCAAAGTGGGAGTAAGTAGCAGTAGAGACTGACCAGATTTATCTAGTTGTTTTGATGTTTTGGGACAGGGTCTCATGTAGTCTTGAACTCTTGATCTTCTCTCTGAAGTGATGAGATTATAGCCATGTTTCATGACAGCTGGCTTGAAGTGGATTTTAAGAGAAACAAAAGTTCTGAAATGAGAAGATACTTGGGGCTGTTTTAGTTTAGTGACTTTCTGTGCTCATTTGCTTGAGCCATGGCCTACTTAACACCAGTCCCACTAGTTGATGTCACCTAATGACATCATACCTTAGTTTAAGTAAGTATACTATGGTGTTTGCCCAGTGATGGATGGAGTCACCTAATGACACATTTCTCAGAATGTGTTCCCACCATTAAGTGATGCATAACTATATTTTGTTAAATATGAAGATGATACAATGAAAAACCGATCAGAGAAAAAATAATGTGGCTACCCAAATTTGAATTTGTTCCTACTTTACTCATAACTGACATTATGACTTTTCAATTTCTTCTTTTAGGAGTCAAGAGGTGTAGTAGTAATTGTGTCTCTGTTAGTTCAGAAATGGGCCTTCAGGGTTGCTGCTCTTATCAAATATAATTTCTCTTGCATTACAGTAAAACTGTCCCCAGAAACATTTGTCAGAATTTCTGTTTTAATGACTTGTTTTCTTCCTTTTAGTCTGTGGATGTTGACTGGCCACCTGCTTTGGATGACTAGCACTCACACTTGAACTCTGAGGGTTTTCCTGACATGATGCACGTACGGCAGCATACCCTGGAAGATGACTTACCCACCATGACAGTATCTTCAGAACGACCTGGATTGTGTTGATCTGTCCCAAAGCTCACTGTAACAGCTAGTACATCTCAGGGTCTGTGTATGCATAGATCTCAGGGTCTATCTGTACGCATATTTTGTGTTCTGTTGTTCTTAGAATGTCTTGTGTTTTTTCATTCCTTGTCTCATGACCACAAAACCAAAATAGGAATAATGTGACCATTTTCCGTTTTGATTCTGTCACTTAGAGAAGTGTGCAGGGGTAGATGGTGTTAAGACCATCGAGGTCTCCTACAGGAGACACAATGCCTTTAAAGGGATGTGCTCAACTTTTCAGATCATCTGAATAAATGCTACAACTAGACTCTCGTAGTAGTGTCTTTGTGGTATTCTAATATGTCATGCACATCTGATATTAATATTTTTCCCAGTTACCATCAAGCTGTTATTCATGGAAGTACTTTAAGGTGTGATTTTTCATGAGTCTTAATGACCTCAAGTTACTATTGTGACAATCTAAAGTTGTCAGTATTTGCCTCCTGTCGAAGGCAGTGACAATGCTGGAGGCATACCTCTAGAGCCATAATTCTCAACCTGTGGGTCACAACCCCCATAGGGGTCCCATATCAGATATCCTGCATATCAGACATTTACACTGCAATTCATAACAGTAGAAAATTACAGTTATGAAGTAGCAATGCAATAATTTTATGGTTGGGGGGGTCACTATAACATGAGGAACTGTATTAAAGGGTCACAGTGTTAGGGAGGTTGAGAACCACTGGCCTGGACACTTTCCTACATCCTTTAAGTGAAATAGTGAAATAAGTGCCTTCAGTAACTTCTGTCCCTGGGTTACAGATTCAAAAGTGTGAGATTGCTTAACAAATACAAACATATTTTACAGTGTTTCAACTACTTTCTAACTTCAAACATTTTAAGAAGGTGTATTTAACATTATGTCTAATTTCAAAAACAAGGAGTCAAAGTTAAGTGACACCTAAGTTATCAGTTACTCCTGTTAACCAGGTCTGGAACTGGGGTCGTGTTTCCAGGGTCTTTCTATAAACTCTTGTCATGAGCACCTGTTGTTCCTGTGGGTGACAGTGAGGTGCGCAATGCCAGGAGACAGCTAGCAGCTCCCCAAGAAATGGCTAATGTGTGTCTCATGTGACTTGTATAGAAATGGCTACTGTGTGTCTCATGTGATTTGTATAGTTGCTATTTGTAATGAGTGACATGATGAAGAGAAATCCTAAGCACATTGATGTTAAGAGAAGCTTTCCTTTGAGAAGGAGCCGTTCCGCCAGCCTGGTTCCAGAGCTGTATCAGTCCCAAATAAACACACAGCAGGCTATATTAATTATGAAGCTGTTGGCCTTGCTTATTTCTTACTGGCTAGCTCTGACTTAAGTAGTTACCCCATAATTGTTAATCTAAGTATGTCTCTTACCGGAGGAGTTTCCGGGCTCCTACCTCATGACGTTACATGTCGACTCTCTGTGTTTCTCCTTCCCAGAGTTCTCCTGGACTCCTAGTCCCTCCTATCTTGGTTCCCTATAGGCTCAACAGTACTTTATTGACAAATGCACAGGACTTCCCCCAACACATTGAACCAAAAGAAGATGAATTAACCATTAAAATTCCCAGAAGAGAAGCTCAATAAAATTTAGATTTAATGTAATTTTTAACATCTGGCACTCTCCCTCCCTCTCTCCCTCCCTCCCCCTCTTTCTTTTTTGATACATTGATTTGAATAGTTTTGATTTTTCATGTTTCTCTGCACACAATTCACAGATTCTTAAGATGTACGTTAGTCTGAGGGTCCTGCTGCAGCTGGGTGGCCTGTATTGCCCCCTGGGACAATGGTGATGTCCAGGCATGGGCTGCTGCCGAGGACCATGTCTGGGTCAGTGGTCCTGCTGCAGCTGGGGTCTGTGATGTCTGAGGCCTTAGGAATCATGTGTGTTGAAATTCAAGGGCCATGCTGAGCTGACTCTGGAATAGGTGGCCTGGCCCTCGCTGTACATTGTCAGGAGAGCTGGTCCCACTCCTCATGAGCGAGCTACCACCACCACCACCACACACCCTGGAGAGATGGTCCCACCCCTTGCTATAGGCAGGGGAAAGCTGGCCCCAATGGATGAGTGTAGGAGAGCTTGCTCCATTTCTTGCCTGAGGGATTTGGCCCCAGTGACCCAAACTGACAGCTCAGCCACCATCCAGGCCCCACATCCCAGGCCTTGGGTTGGCCCACAGTAACATCCACCCATCTAGACCTGCTGGAGCGTGTGAAGGGACTGTTCCTGTGAATAACGCCTGCAGGATCTCCGTGACTCGGGGTACTGGAGGATGTCTGAGAGGAGTTCCAGTGATGATGGTGTGCAAGAGGCTTTGAGCCAGACTGGAGACCCATTGCAATGAACATTTGCAGGTTGGGCTGTGGGACAAAAGGGTATATACTGCATGACACACTGCAGCTCCCAATGCCACCAGGACAAATGAAGATGTGTTGGAGAGGCAGGAAAGACAGAGGAGCAAGGTGGGGTTTTGTTTTTAATTAATTTGGGGATGGGGCACTGGAGGGGTGAGGGGCAGATATGGAGTGACTGGGAGGTGAGTGAAATTAGAGTGCATTATTAAAAAGATGTATTTTAGATATTGTGTTGGGAAATGTTTTTGCTTGAGATGAAAAGGGAAGCCTACTGCTTTGAAACCATGTTTCATCCTAAGTGAATAATAGCAAAGGATCTTCATTGTCTGAAAAATGTAAAGAGAATAGCAACTGATAAAAAGTTAAAAGTTAAAGACTTCTGGTGAATAATTCTCAGCTTCTGATGAAATTTTGCTACAAAAGAAGTGTAAATAATGTAGGGAAAGTCCTTTGTTTCTTTTAGCTCAGCTTTGAATCCAAAACATGGCTCCAGTAACTTCCAGCCAACTGTCTCATGAATTATTTCCTGTTGAAGGGTAGACTTGCTGCAGATGCTTATTCTAGGTGTCCATGGGACTTGGGGATACAGGGTTAGGAAGACTTGTAGGTTTGCTTCCCTTGGTCACAGTGTTTCATTACCTTGGTTTCCCTTCTACACACTTTGTTTAAATTAGAAGTCATGTTTGTCATTTGCAGAATGAGCCTTTTGTTCTTGGTTGCAAATTTAATCTGTAGTTTATCTTAGAAAAAAATCAACTCTGAAGAGTTGAAGAAATCAAGAAAAAAATAGAATTGATAAATGAGAATTTTCCTAGTAGGGTAACTGGCTACCTTTGCAAGATAAATTAAGGGAAATAAGTTAAATTTCTATTTCCGAAGAGAAAAACAGCAATCCTCTTTTTTTTTTATCACTTGGAGCTTTATTCTTTGTGTTTTTTAATTAAATTCATACATGCACATAATACACAGTGGTAACTCATACCCCATCCTTTGTTTTGTTTTTATTGTTTGAGACAGGGAGGGTCTCTATATAGGCCTGGCTATCCTGGAATTTATTTTATCTGCCTGCCTCTTCCTCTTGGGTACTGGGATTAAAGGTGTATACCACTCACTGATCCCCCAACCTTTCTTACCTCCCTCCTATTCCCAACAAACCCTCTCCCTGTGAGACCCCTTTCTGCTTTCATGTCTTTGATTTGTGACTGAGATGACAACTTTTGTGGTCATGGATGTGGAACATCCATAAGCAGCAACCCTTAAGACAACGCCCCTTTGAGTATCCGTCGACAGCCAGCAGTTCTTCTGGGAGGGACAGGTCCCCATGACGCCCTCTCCGACACATGCAGGCAACTACAGATGCCATGAGATCGTTGCTACAGTCATGCCATCTTGTCAGGAAGGTATGTCTCAGTATTCCTCATTAGCCATCTCAACGATTATTTGTCTTCCTGAGTTTTGGTTTCTAAGTCCACACCTGAAAATTTACTGTGTGGAAGCTGTGTGAGGTAGGTCGCTGCAGATAGGGTCTCAGGTTATAGCTTAGACTGGACTTGAATTTACGGTCCTCCTTCCTTTGCCTCTCGGCGTGTCTGTATTGTACTCAAGGCCACAGCTTTCATGAATTGGTTTTTAAATGGTACCTGCTTACCTTTCAACTTAGTGACAAAAAGGGTTCGTTTCCCTCACACTTCCATCACTGAGGGAAGTCAGGGCAGGAACTCAAGGCAGGAACTGGAGCAGAAGCCGAGGAGGAACACCGCTTACTGGCTTCTTCCTCATGGCTTGCTCTGCCTGCTTTGATACAGCAGCCAGGACCATGGGCTCAGGGGGACCACTGCCACAGCAGGTTAGCTTCTCCCACATCTGTCATTAATCAAGACTGCATCACAAGCTTGCCCACAGGACGATCCTATGGAAACATTTCTCAATGAGTCTCCCTCTTCCCAGATAGCCTATACCAAGTTGACATAAAAACTAGCTAGCATAGTACCTTCTTTATTATGAAAAAAGAATTATTTTCATATCTTAATTTTTTTCATTTCAAAATAATTCCAGACTTAAAAGTACTAAGGAAAGTACAAAGGAACTTTCCCACTGAGTTGCTGAGTCAGTGACGCCTCACCATCTCAAATACATCAGTGTGCAATTCCAGGAAGACAGCTTGTAAATCACAGGATGCCCGCCCACCATACCAGGAAGTTAGCACTAATAGACTACCATTATCTAACCCAAAGACTTCACTCAGACTGCCATTTGTCACAGGCTTCATGATCGAGTCATCACACTTGGTAATCAGTGGTTATGTCAACATTCATGAAGCAGTTTTAAGATTTCAGACCAGTTATTTAGTAGACCATCTCCTCAACTCCAGTTTGCCTGGTTCTTCCTTATTAGATTTAGGCATGTGAGAATGCCACAGAAGAAATGTTTTCTTCTTGTGTCTTACCAGTGTCAGACAGTTCCCAAGTTTTCCAGTTATTAAGGTTGAGTGTTGGTCATTGGGTAGTGTTGTCTAGCCAGCTACTTCAGTCTCTGAGTCCCTCCCCTCACACTGCAGTCAGTGCCTTGTAGATAGCCCAAATCTTCACTCTTCAGACAGGACCCACTGATGATCTCCACCTGACTCAGTACTGACTGCTGAGTTCTAACCGCCAAATTCTGTCACTCCTTTTACATGTATTGATTGGCACCCCACTTCTGTCTTTATTCATTTGCTGTATTGTTGTAGCCTTGGTTTTGTTTTTGGGGGTATCGGGGATTGAACCAAGACAAAGCAGCATTTTGTCACTAACACATCTCACTCGGATTTCCATTTTATTCAATGAGGTGGTAACTTGTTATTAATGTTATTTTATTTTTTAGTATTGGTCTGAGCAGGTTGCTACCCTGAGAATTCTACCTTGTAGGGGTAAAGGTTCCTTGAGGGAAGAGCCAGGTGTAGTGGTCCACGCCTTTAATCCTAGCACTCAGGAAACAGAAACAGGCTGCTATCTGTGAGTTTGAGGCCAGCCTCAAACAGTGAACTCCAGGACAGGCTGAGCTACATAGTGAGACTCTGTCTTGAAAAAAGAGACCTTTGAGACAGGCATTGCTCCTTGAGACTGCCATTCCAAAGGGTAGTTACAGATAAAAGCATGTGGTGCTGAGACAACACTTTATAAGATGCCTAATGTTTCAACAACACCAAACTACTCTGTATAACAAAAATATTACAAATAATGGGAGTTTTAGAAAATGATTTATTGCATCACCAAGAAAAAAAATCACAGTATACAAAAGATATTACAAAAATAACAGACTATTTTGTACAATAAAAGGCATCTTGACATTTAAAAAAATATTTCATCTTGATACAAAGCTTAAATTCTTAGGAAACAGTATCTGAGAACTTTAAAAAAATAATTTCATCAGTGCCTTAAACTTGATCCATCATCAAGCATATAAGTTTCAAATGCAGACAGCTCAGGGATAGAGCATTTACTCAGAGTGTATGAGACCCTGGGTTCAATTTCAGTATGATACGCCTCTCCCTTCCCCTCAAATCTAACTATTTTAAACCAGATGCAGTGTGGTGACATATGTCTACAATCCCAGTACTTGGAAAGAAGAGGCAGGTAGATACTAAATTCAAGGTCAAAACAACAACAGGTTTCACTGTTTTGTTGGGATCCATTAACCATGGCCAACAGCATTTTAAAGTGCTTTGATTGGTGACTGCTGATTGAGGTCTCCAGTGTTGCCTAAGTCGATCTTGGAGTCCTACCCTCAAGCGTACTTCCTGCCGCAGCCCCAAGTGCTGAAGCTACAGGCATGAATCAGCACAGCTGGTTCACTAACAGCAATGAAGTCTAGTGATGACTGAATGTCATACAGTTATCCTGAAGTACTCCAACTTTATCTCACTCCATCTCATGGGAAGTCATATTTTGGTTTAAAAGCTTAAGAAGAAAATGACACAAAATGAATTTTATATTTTACCAAAAATTTACACATTTGCTAATAGTTCTAAAAACTGTTACATTATTGTGAACTCAAAGTATCAATGAATTTTGTGATTCTTTGAAGGTCCAAAAGCTTAAACAACAACCCTAGAGATATTAGGGAGGCAAAAGCAGGTAGACTTATGTGCATTCCAGGCCAGTCAGGGTACTGAAAATAAATAAACAGCAACAACAACAAAAACAACCAAAAGACAAGCCTGCATACCCTGAGTCACTACCCCCTTTAAATAACTGGTAACAGGAGGCAACTGCCCTAGGGCCATGCTTAGAAGAGCATGGTTACTTATTAAAAAGTTATGTTTTGTCTGTTAAAAAAGATGGTGGGACACAATGCAGAGTACTAACCACTGTACTATCAATCCCAGCACTCTGGAGGCAGAGGCAGGTGGATCTCTGTGAATTTGAGGCCAGCCTGTTCTACATAGTGAGTTCCAGGATGGCCAGAGCTGTTACACAGAGAAACCGTTTAGAAAAACAAAACAAAACAAAACATGGCAAAAAGATGGTGAGGACATGAGTAGGTTTTTGGTATTTTTTTTGCAATTAGGTATTACTTTAGAGATTTGGCCTTATCCATTGTTGACTTTGTGCTATAAATTCTGCCTTGATATTCAGTTCAAATATTCATGTGACTATGTCTTAAAGGGATGGACCTGGATAAACTTGAGAGAGGCTTCCATCTCATCCCTCAGCCCACTGCTGGGCTTAGGAGGGTAGCACAGGCTTTTCCATACATAGGATACAAAAGCATCATAGCCTCTTCTTTGCACACCCAACCTCTGAAAACAACCCTGACATCTTGCAGAGTCAGCCTCCTGAGTCAAGGCACTCCCAATTCAAAACTCAACCTTTACAATTCTCAAAAGTGAAGACAGTAACTGATATTTCCCTCAATGAGAAGTCTTCTCTGAGAATAAGGCACAAAGAAGCATCTCCATATCTGGCAATGTAAACATTAGTCTAAAGATAAACCCAGATCATAGTTCTCCCAAAATATTTACTCCTCCGTAAGTGAGTTTCTCTGGTGGGTATTAAGTGGCTAGGAATGTCTGGACAGTAGGCTAATGGGGCCACGTGAGAAGCACAGCTGCTGGTTTGCTGTCTTTGACTCACACTTGTAATTTACAGGGTTTCTTCCCAGACATTAGTTAGTTCAAAACACACAGCCTGGGAAAGACAAGGAGCCAGGTTTTTGTTTTTCTAGGGGTGGACACTGGATTTAGGGCTGTACATGCAAGGTGTCTACCACTGAATTACAATCCAGAGCCTTTTTTTTTTAAAGATAGGTGCTCACAAGGTTGTTCCCTTGAACTTACTCAATAGACTGGGCAGGCCTTGAACTTGTGATCTTTCTGCCTGAGTATCTGTGATTACAAGTGAGTAACACCACAGCCATATAGGCTAACTGACTAAAAACAGTCTCTCTTCTTTGTATTTTCCCATGCTGTTTGGTAGCTTATGATAATTTATCAATATATGATTAAGATATAAGAGGGATACAATTAAGACAGCCTGTATCACCAATTCCAAGTCTCACCATGGGAAATATAGTTTTTCTGAGTCTGTCCAAAAATGCCAAAGCATATTAAGACAAATCGACAACCCAGTTACTCTGTACACTCGACTTTTTAATAGAGAATCAATTAGCCAAGTAAAGGTTTTTAGGATAGTAACTCAGCAGGCTCTAATGACAAGAACCAGAGTAGTGGCTTGGAGGGACTGATGAGAGCCTGGGGTCTCAAACACGGTGGTTACATGGTTTTTACATAAGTAAAAGTTCTCCAAACTATACTTTAAAGCTTGTCCATATTTATGTGGCTGGCTATATGTGTGACTCATGAGAAAACAAGTATCTCTGAAAATAAGAGTTGAATCTCATTCACCTCTGGTTTTCTACACAACACACTACACTATATAATATACAGTAACAAAATGTCATATAGTTTATTACATAAATACTGACTACTGACATGTCTGTGCAGGGTAACCTACCAAGGGGTAGGTACCTCAGGGTACTTGAGATTTAACCCGCCACATGCAGGGGCAGGGTTTCTACTGGATACTGTTGGTACTACCATTTCCAAGAGAGCTGCTTTGGGTCTCAAAGGGCCTCAGGGTGGTATTTAGACTTTTGTTTTGTAATTAATTTTGTTGTTGTTGTTGCAATTCTGGGTATCAAATATAGGGCTGTGCTCTATCATGAATCTATGGGCCAATCTTTGCATTGTTTTAAGAAGAGGGAGACAGAAGAGAAGTGCATCTCATAAGACAGGCTGTCTTGGCATCACCATTTTCTCTTTGGGGTGAAGCACCTTTCCCATTAAAAACTTATGTCCTCAAACACGATTTTATAATCATCGTCCTCTCTCTAACAAATAGCTACCATTTATTTTGCACCAATTATGTCAGAGTCTATGTCAAGTGCTGGAGTCCCAGATAGGCTGCCCCTCAGCTGTGGCAGCAGGACCAAACCCTGCAGAGAAGTCAGCTGTTAAAGGTAAGAATGTTAGGAGCAGAGAGACAAAGTGGGTTACATATATGGAGACCTGAGGGGGGAAAGCAACATGCTCCAACTACAAAGTATAAGTGGAATGAGCTATTTAAAAAAAAATCTTGAACATATGGAAAAGACTTCCTTTGGAGAAAAAGAATGAAAACTTTTCCAGTAACAGAAGAGACAAATGCAAGAGACTTTTAGTAGACAGACTCAAAAGGACTACGTATGAGTTGAAGAAGACAATCAAGGATGTCTCTGAAGCTTCCATTAAATTATCTCTGGTGTCAGCAGTAATGCCATTAGGAAAGAGTGTAAGAGAAGGCAAATTTACACGAGCATTCAGGCAGCAGGAGAGAAAGCGGACACTGGTCCTGGTGAGAGTGCACACAGCCCTTGAGAACTGGGTTAGGAACTGCGAGGACCCTGCCCATCGCAGACACACCTGGTCAATAGATAACAGACTGTGGACGGGAAAAACATGTAGAGTAACACCGATAAAGAAGGCCTGGGACTTGACAAGGGGTAGGAACTAAACCAAGAGATGGACGGGGAAGGAGGGACACAGAGGTGATAAGACAGAGGCACAGCACTTAAAGGTTAAGAGTGGAAAGAAGGGGCATGGTGCGGGTAGGGTTTGGTACTTTGGGGGATGTTTTCACCCTTTTATTCTCAAAAGGACGTTTGTTCTGTTTATAGGATGAAAGCATGAACTAAGTGGGAACATGAGGACACTGGCAATGGGGGAAAGATGTAGTGCACAAGGTGGAGTTTGGGAAGGAAGGCCCATCCCCTCAAAACTAAGTGAAATACAAATGCAACTAGGGAGAAAGGAGGAAACATGGCTGAATGCATTGTAAGTTATAAAATGAGTTTTGTGATCAGTAAACAGTACCCGGAGATAAAACATCATTTTAAAATACGCTAAACACAGATGTAGATGTACCTTAGTGAAATAAGTCAGTGTATGTGTAACATCTGCTGAGCTTTCTAACAGTTGTGTCTATCAGTGCCAAATAATACAAAATTACTACAATTAGTCTCATCTGGACATGGAGCTCAATTGGTAGGCACTTCTCCAAGCAAAGACCTATCACTGGTTCCCCACACCACATAAACTTGGAGTGGTGGTGCACATTTGTAAACCTAGCACTTCCAAGGCAGAAGCAGGAGAATCTGAAGGTCAAGGCCATCTTTGACTACATAGCAGGTTTGAAGCCAGCTTGAGCGATGTGAAACCCTGTCTCAAACGAGTTCAAAAGAGGTGGTTAGCTTCTGATATACACGGAGCAAAGACCTTCTGGATTTGCTGCTCTGTTGACACATTTGGAAGATGAAGAAGCAATGGCGACATCAAGGTTTTTACCTAAGTAACTAGAAGCATAGCATGACAATTTCCAGGACTGGTAAGACTGAAGGACAAGCAAGTCTGGGGGTAAAGTTCAAAACTCAGACTTCAACATACTGAGCTAAAACTTAAATTTTGTTATTTTTTCTTTTTCCCTCTACAGGGGGTTGAACACAGGGTCTTGGAAACGTTAAGCAAACTCTACCATTGAGTCACAACCTTAGTCTTTTTTATCTTTGAGAAAAAAAATTGCCATAAGCTGCCCAAGCTGGTATTGAACTGACTATGTAGCCCAGGCAGGCCTTGAACTTGTAATATTAAGGAACTCTAATAAAGAAAAGGCTCAAGAAAATGTCTTTTTCTTGAAAATACAGATACACAGCTAATTCCATAGGTAACTTTAGAGGTATGAGTCTAAATTATATAAAATAGAAAAAAAACCTTCCATCCCTTGAAATCTCACTTCAGCGCTCTCTCTCTCTCTCTCTCTCTCTCTCTCTCTCTCTCTCTCACACACACACACACACACACACACACACACACACACACACACACCACTACCTAAAAATACCAAGAAACCCCAGAAAACCCCTTAGGGGTCACTTTGGGGGCCTCAACAATAATAATGAGTTTATTTCCCAATGGCATAGCCATTACATGTTTTACCTTAAATCTGCTTGAAAGCAAATATCAATTCATTTAACTAGTACATTAATACATTACAAAAGACACACAGCTTGTCTTGAGGAGATATGAAACAACAATTCACATCAAGCACATGTACTTTAGGCATCTTTCAAAGTAAGAAACAGTACAGCTCTTTAAAGTTTCTACTTTTGAACATTCTCTTTATATTCTATACACCTAAAGTTTTAATAGTTTCCTAGATTTAAGTCCTATAGGTTACATTTAAAGAAAACCATATGCAAAGGAATCACTCAATTGCTCACTTTGCAGAGTGTCAATACTTGAATATTGACTACTCTGAACAAAATTATGAGTATTTGCATCATTTGATGGCCCAGGCTCATTTATCAGACCATTTTCTACACAACCGAAGTTTGATCTATCAAATGCATCTGACTGAGAAACAAAAACAGAATTAGAACTGGTGCCTGCTGACATATTGGCAGAAGACATCTGATGTAGTTGTCTCAGGTCTCTTTGGTCTAACCTTGAATTACATGAGGGGTTTTCAAGATTGATGCTCATAAGTCTTGGATTATCAGTGTCCCCCATGTTGTCATTGCTGGTTGTCATCACATTCACAGGGCGATTAGACAGCATGTTGACATCAGAAATACTATATAAGTCAGCTGGTGACATGGATAATGCTTCCATTCTAGCTAGGTCGTCAGTATAAAGGCAAGCACTGGAAGCATTTAAATCACCCACACCAGACCCTTCTAGGAATGGAAGGATACTTTGTGAGTTAGAGGGAAGTGCTCCTGCTGAGAAACTACTCAGTGTGTTTGTACTGGCTGAGCGTGAGGTTGGGTGGCTCACTGAAGACCAGCTTGAAGGCTGAGAGACCACTGAGGCTATGGCTGGTGGGTGATGTGGCAATCCACTTGAGATGGGCACAGATGAAGAGTAGTAGGGTTCGGCTTGACTTGAAACTCCTGAAGACCTGGGCATTTCTGGCATAGGTGTACCATGAGAAAACAAGTTTGATTCTGTAGAAGAAAAACATATTTCATAAATTAAGATGAACAAATTAATGTAAAGCATTATTTTTAAATTGAGATTATAAAAACACACTAAAAATTTTCCAGGGAACTTATATATTTCAAATAAAAAATTTAAAACACAAAAATTATTACATGAATTCAAAACTAAATTCATAACATGTAAATTGCTTTATAAACACAAGAAAATGATTTTTAAAAGTTATCTTGGTATGTGTAATTTTCTTCTGGTTAAATATGAAAATACAGCTTCTTGAGCCACATAGGTACATTTTAAAACATAGAAGATAAATATTGGAATTTCAGCAAACAGGTATCCAACTGCCCACATCATGTTATAGTCTCTACTTTTAGGAGAAAATGGAGAGATGGAGAAGACATTGATTAGGAAAAGCTGAAAAATACAGTTATTAGGACTAATGAGGATATGACCCTAAAGTACTATAAAATTTTCTATCATAAAACTATATTTATTAGCTGGGCGTTGGTGGCGCACGCCTTTAATCCCAGCACTTGGGAGGCAGAGGCAGGTGGATCTCTGTGAGTTCGAGGCCAGCCTGGTCTACAAGAGCTAGTTCCAGGACAGCCTCCAAAGCCACAGAGAAACCCTGTCTCGAAAAACCAAAAAAAAAAAAAAAAAAAAACCCTATATTTATTGACATATTACACAAGTACTATATAAACCAGGATAAAGTACCAATTTAAGGAAAGAAGATGGAAAATTTGTCAGGGGCTCATAAAATATCTTCTATCAAAGATCAGATAGTTTTAAGATTGGTGGGGTGAGCAGCCTCTGTTGGAACTATTCAACTCTGTTGTTTCAGTAGAAGAAAGAAAGGGAGTCTAGGTCTGGCGTGGACTGTGTATGACAGTAAGTGGTCAGCCTGCCTGAGGTCCTACTGAAGCACCATTAAAAAGGTAACAAGAGACACTATGTAGCCAAAGGAGTACAGCTGTGTTCAAGTGAAACTTGTTATAAACACTTGCCCACTATCTCCACATCATTTCTTCCATGACACAGTGCAATTAGTAAAATTATCAGTTGTGGGGTTTGAATAGGTATGGTTCCATAGACTCATAAGTTTTGAAAACTTGGCCCATAGTGAGAGGTACTATTAAGAGGTATGGCTTTGTTGGAGTGAGTGTGACCTTGTTGGAGGAAGTGCGTTACTGTAGGAGTCTTATAAGCTCAAGCTATGCCCAGTGTGACACACAGTCTCCTGCTGCTGCCTGTGGATCAAGATGTAGAACTCTCAGCTCTTTCTCCAGCACTGTGTCTGCTGCACACAAAATGGAGATAATGGACTAGACTTCTGAAACTGTAAGCCATCCCCAACTAAATGTTTTCCTTTATTAGAGCTGCTGTTAACATGGTGTCTCTTCACAGCAATAGAAGCGCTAACTCAGAGACCAGTGTATGAACAAAATGTAATTTCTTGAACAATAAATATAATCAGTTCCCAACCTAATATTCAGAGGCACAAGACTAGCTCAATTCAATATTGAAAGCATGAGAAAATCTGTAGGAAACAAAAATATTTAAAAAGCCCTTATTCCTAAAAAAGTGGAATAACAGTATTTAATAGGGATCAAATACCTTTTTTGATGAATCTTCCTTCTCCAGTTGGCCCCAGGGGGACAGTTCTGGGTTTCTCAGGAAAGTTAGCTGCCATGATAAAGTTTTTCTATTATTACATGTAATTTGAAAAAATAGTTTATAATTAAAAATTTTAAACATAATAAAACAAGTAAAATAAATCAATCCAAAACATTCTTACCACAATCTTGCAGTAGTTTCTGAAAAAGTAGAGTTGTTTTTTGTCTTTTTGATTTGTTGCCATATGCATCTGATTAAAAAAGAAAGCAGGAAAGCAGTGAATCATCATGGGTTCTGCCCTCTCCACCATGAGCCGATGCATCCCCTGCATATGGAAATGCTTCAAATATTTGTGAGTAACACAGACCTGCGAATTATGGTACAGTAAAGCCTATCCCAACTGTAAGGACACTTTTCTTCTAATAAAAAAAAGCAGCTTAAAATAGTCGTTTTTCACCCTAAAAGTACCTATAAGTCAACATGAACTAATAAAATAAGTTCTGATAATATATAGACCAAAACAGATACGCTTTCTGATTAACAAACTTTCCACCGATAAAAGGACACATAATAAGTACAAAAAGTAAATCCAAAACTACATGTATTAGGAGAAAATATGATTCAACAGTTCAAGAACTCTCAAATTATTCAAACCTCCTAAGAAATACAAAGAACAAGAAAAACAAAAAACAAAAACAAAGACGATGACACAACTGAAAATGTCTGGGAAAAGAAAATATTAATATATAAAACTGCACTCATGTTTATTTTGCAGTTACTAGGATGATCAGCTTAAGAAAATGATCTACTTTTGAGCTGAGAATGTAGCTCAGTTGGCTCAGCACTTGCTAGTATGTATAAAACCCGAGTCAAATCCTGAGCACCCCATTTAAAATGATAAGGCGGGGGCACAGGGGCACATGTTTGTCCTCCCAATAGTCAGGAGGTGGAGGCAAGAGGACCATTCATTCTTAGCTACACAGGGAATTCAGAGACAGCATGGGATACGTAAGACTTTGTTTCCAATGTAAACACACACACACAGACATACACTTATATATACATTACTACCAATGTGTCACACCTTTTTCATCTGGCAGGTATCTGAAATCCATAGATTCGCTGACTTCTTGGTCAGAAGGTCTCCGAAGCTGCATTTTCACTGTCACAGGCTCCAATATTGCTTTGCAATATGGAGGAGTCTTGAAAACAATGGCTACTTGGCGGTGTACATCAGCTTGCGAAAAAATACCTTTAGCTTCCCAGTCATTCAACACAAAACGAACCTCTATATCATCTAGTGAATAAGATGCCAAAGAATAATAACAATGGGGAAACAAGGTAAAATACACATATTAATAAAAATATATTACTGATTCAATGAAACAAGACTGGTAAATACCTTTCTGAACTTTGTCACAAAGTAGAAATATTTCATCTCCTCCCCTGACACTTCCACAGTTCTTGTTCACACGACAAATCCTTAATTCTGCAGTATTTGGGGCACCTAAATATAAAGGTTTTTTTTAAAAACGTGTCTCAGTATTATCTAATTATTGTTACTATTGCTGTGATGAAACACCATGACCAAAAGCTAGTTGGGGAGGAAAGGGTTTATTTTCACTCACAGTTCCATATAAGAGTTCATCATCAAAAGCAGTGAGGACAGGAACTCACACAGGGCGGGCAGGAACCTAGAGGCAGGAGCTGATGCAGAGACCATGGAGGAGTGCTAACTACAGGCCTGTTGCTCATGGCTTGCTCAGCCTGCTTTCTTACAGAACCCAGAACTGCCAATCCAGGGTTGGGTAACCCCACAATGAGCTGGACTCTCCCCCATGAATCACTAGGAAAATGCCCTATAGGCCTGTCTACAGCCAGATCTTACAGAGACAATTTCTCATTGAGAGTATCTCTGTGTCAAAAGAAATTTTAGCTTGTGTCAGGTTGACATAAAACTAGCCAGTACAAGTATTATATTTTATTATGTTGTAAGGAGAAAAATTTGAGGAAAATAATTTAGAAAATAGATAAAAATTTTAATGTACAGCTAAAAGAAACAATATTTTTTGTGTGTGTTGTATGTGTGTTGAGGTATGTCTGTGTACAGGTGTGTGTGAAGCACAGGTAAGCATGCACATGTGTGAAGGTCAGAGGGCAATCTTAGGTACTTGCTAGTCCTCAATTTCCACCTCTTTTGAGACAGTTTCTTTGTGTTTTTGAAGCTATGTACACCATGCTAGCTGGCCTTTGAATATGAGCAATTCTCCTGTCTCTGCCTCCCAAATCTTGTAAGGGAACACTGTAACTAGTCTTTTTATATTATTACTTATAACCCCAGGGCAATGTCATTTTCATGTTTGTGCCCAGTATTATTATAATACTCCTCCAAGGCACCCAAGGCTCTCTGATAAGAATGATCTACCCCTATACTCCTGTGGACCAGCATTCTACATGCAAAACAGGTATAGCACACACCTGGTCAGTGCGTGTGCCAAAATATTTTGGAGGACAGTTTTACAATCTTTTCAAATAAACTTCTATATCCTCTGATACAGTGTCTGTCAAAATTTGTGCTTCTGAAAATAAATGCCAGAAATATTTGCATAAAATATGAACATTCAGGAACCAGTGAGATATGTTAAGTGGGTAACATAACAGGCTTGTCTGCTGCCAAGCCTGACATCTTGAGTTTGATCCCAGGGAAGTTGTCTTCTGACCTCCACTTACACATGAATACATTACAGATAGATAGATCGATAGATAGATGTCTTTAAAATGCCCACATAAATATATTTATTTCAGTATAATTTGTTTACAAAAAGAAAACAAGAAAGAAATGAACCCAATACCCTTTAACTGGGTAATGATTTCTTAAAATTAATATATAGTCATATAAAATACGTGCCAGGAAAGGTGGCACATGCCTTTAATTCCAGCACTTATGAAGCAGAGGCAAGCAATCTCTGTGAGTTTGAGTCCAGCCAGGTCTACAAAGTGGGTTCTAGGACAGCCTGAGCTGTTACATAGAGAAACTCCGTCTTGAAAAACAAAACAAAAAGTAAAAAGAGAATATGCAGCTATTGGAAACTTAAGTGGGGCCTGGGGTATAGCCTAGTGTTAAAGCACTTGCCCAACATGTCCAATGTCCTGCATTCAATTGCCAGCACTGTTTAAAAAGAAAAAATAAAGAAAAGGAAAAATGTGACTGAAAAAGGTTCAAGTACATTGCTGAGAGAAAAGTTTTGGGATTTTTTTTTATTTTATTTTATTGGTCTTTTTAGACAGTGTCTCACGTAACCCAAGATGGTCTTGAACTCACTATTCTTTTTTTTTTTTTTTTGAGACACGGTTTCTCTGTATTGTTTTGGAGCTATCCTGGAACTCTCTCTGTAGACCAGGCTGGCCTTGAACTCACAGAGATCTGCCCGCCTCTGCCTCCCGAGTGCTGGGATTAAAGGTGTATGCTACCACACCTGGCTTCTTGTTTCTTGAGACAAGGTCTCACTGTGTGACCCATAATGCTTTATCCTCCTGCCTCAGCCTTCTGACTGCTACATACTCATACGTGAGCCACCATACTCATTTAACATACTCCTTTTCTAATTAAGAAAATGCTTAAAGCTTTTTTTAACAATTAAGTAAATAAATCAAGCTAAGACTACAGACATAAGAAAATTAAAGCACTTACGGTTGTCATAAATTGGGTTAGAAACCACGGGAGGAAGAGCAGTTGTCAAGTTGCCATGTTCATCAGGAAGGAAAACTTGAAAACACAGCCTCACCACATTTAGGTCGCAGTCTTCAATGTCCAGCAGCTGCTGTTCAGGGACTATACAGTACAACATGATTTTAGAACACAGGGCAATTACATAATACAAAATCCTGCAGTCTTTCTCTCTGACCACAATGCCCAAGAACCTCAAGCAACACCTAAATCTGCACAAAACTAGGATGGTGCACACTCTCAAGAATAGCTTCCACGTCACACAGTCACTACCTAACAGGGTAGGATACATATTCAGAGAGAACTGTACCAGGAACCTGGAACTTAAGGGCAGATTCGCAAACAGCCACAAATGAAAAGTCTTAATTCTGGATACAAGTTACAGACAACAGGAAACAGGCATTCTTCACTTAATATAGTACTTGGCCCAGTCTGCAATTACCTTCTAAATCTAGCAAGATTCACTGTCATCCCTGTCTTTATAGGTAGGACATTGATTTTAAAGAGAGGAAATTATTTGTCCAAAGTTTCACAGCTAAATGGTAGAAAAGACATTTGAGGCAGAGGCCACACTAACTGTGTACCAACACTTTAGAGGTGAAATGTGAGGCAGACATCAGATGGTGTAAGCTTACTTAAGAGTTAAGTGTAAGTCAAGTATGCTTAAAAACAAACTATACAGTGGGCATTTTTATAGTTCTGAAAAATATAAAAACTTGTCATAGACTACAGTAAAAAAAGACTTTATTTCATTGATTTTGAAAAAATTCATTTCTAAAATAAAATATTGCAGCCTTTGAAATGATACTTTAGGCCTATAGCAATAAATTGTTACTAATATATGCCATATTTTAAAATGCATGAAATTCGTTGTTACATGAAAATTTTACTTGGGAAGTAGACTGGTATTAAAATTAAAATGCTACCTGTGAAAAACAACCAAATTGCCCAGTCTTACAGAGAACAACCAGGAAAAAAACATAATTTTACACAATGGCAGTCAATCGGTATCAGGAGTTACTTGACATTGAAATTTATTGCAGTATCAGCATTCTTAAGCCTAACATCTGAGTCTATAAAAGCATGCCTGTACAGCTAGAAAGGTCAAAGTATGGCTGTTGGTAAAGAGCCCACCTTGCAAGCACAAGGTCCTGAGTTCAACCCCAGACCATGACAAAGGGCTGGTGCAGCAATGAGACTGATAACCCATGCTGAGAAGGTACTTCTCTGCATGCCAGCATAGCGCATGATCTGTACTTAGGTCTTTATCTTACATGATCACCATTAACATGTACCACTTCCATCCTATTAGGCAAAGTTCTGTGAGCTCAGAATGGGTGTGTTTGTTTCATCTTTGTATTTTCACTAAACATTGACGATAGAAGTTTACATATAATATAATTTATTAAATTTCCTCAATTAATGAGTGACTAAAGGCACAGATAGAATACAAGGTTATCCTTGGCTACATAGTGAGTTTGAGGGTGCAATCTCAAGTAGCTTGAATTACATGTGTGTTCTACCATGCCTAGACCAACAAAACTATTTAAGTAACTACACAGGACTTTAGAAGAAAGACTTTAAGGATAACTGCATCCACTTCAGCAATCACTTATCTATTTAGCAATATAGAATGCTAGAAGGTACCAGATGCCATACCCAATAGTATCATAAAAAAGAAATGCTAAAGGGGCCAGGGAAGCAGCTCACTTGGCAGAGTGCTCGTTTAGCACACAAAGAATCCTTGAGTTCGATCTCCAGCAATGCATAATCAAGTGTGATGGTGATCCCAGTACTGGGAGGTGGAGGCAGGAGGATCAGAAAATTCAAGTCATTCTTGGCTATACAGTGAGTTTGAGACCAGTCCAGAACACATTAGACTCTGTCTTAAAAACAACAACAACAAAACCAAATGCTTAAACTAGGCATGGTGGTATATGCCTCTAATTCCAGCAGGAGGGCCACTTGAGAGAGGAGGTATGGCATCTGAAGTCAGCCGGTTCCCCAAAACAATAAATTAAAAATAAAATGGTTGGTAAGTGCTATTACCAATGAAATACAGTCAACAGCAAGGCATATTCTGCCAATACAAAAGCATACTACAAAAATGTTTTGAAAGGCTAGAGAGGGGCCTCAGTGCTTAAGAGCACTTGTTGCTCTTGTACAGGACCTGGGTCTGATTCCCAGCACCCATGTGGTGACTCATACGCATCTGTAACTCACGTTCCATGGGACCCACGGCCCTCTGCTGGCCTTCAAGGCACCAGTTGCACATGTGGCACACATGCACAAGCAGCCAAACACTCACACATAAAACTAAAGAAGTTAAAAACGTGTTGTGAGTGGCCAGGTGTGGTGTTGCATGCCTGTAATGGCAGAATTTGGGAGGCAGAGGCAGGGGCAAGGCCAGCCTCAGTAAAACTGCAATTCAAGTCAGCTGGGCTGTGTGAGATTTCTATTAAAAAAAAAAACAAAAACAACTGTGGGGGTGAGGGAGGAAAGTATGTTATAACATGGTGCACATTCAACACTCAGAAAGAAAAGCGAATACTGTTTGTTCCACCAGTAGCCTAAGGAAAAAGCATATTCAAAAATAACCAAAACACCTGGACGAGGGTTTAGTCTTTCATTTATTTGTTTTAGCCAGGCATGGTGGCTCACACCTACAATCCAAGCACTTAGGAGGATGAGGAGGAGGGAGGACTGCAGAGTTCAGGGATGGTCTGCAATATGTAGTACAGACCAGTCAGAGCTACAAAGGAAGACTTTATGCCAAAATAATCAATAAGAAAGGAGAAGGGGAGGCTTCCTCAAAGACAACGAAGACACCGTCTACTTAAATACACTTGATTCCTCAGGTCCACATATAAGTCAACAAGTAGAATTATAAATAGAAATCACAGTCTATTGATATCCAAATTATAGGAGAAATTATAACAAAATACTTACCACTGAAAGGATTGATTCCTGCACTTATTCTTAAAATAATAGCTTCTTTCACTTCTTTTTTCTTTACGCACCGAATACCCAAATTTTGAAAACTAAAAGCAAAAAATGAAACTTTCAAAATCAAATCATAATTAAACAAAAAATATGACAGAAATCAAACATATTCAACACTGGGAAGTCACCTTCCTGTCAAATCCAGCTACTAGATCTCGAATCCTACTCTAATTGTGATAATAAAGATACAAGAATAACAAATACTAGGACTGTCTAAAAGAATTGTCAATAGAAAAATAGAGCACATGGTGGCACATGCCTTTAATCCCAGCACTAGGGAGATGGAGGCAAGTGGACCATCCTCAGTTACCTAGCAAGTTTGAGAATAGCCTAGAATATGGGAAACACTGTCTCAAAAGACCAAACCAAAAAAGCATATATAGTACTATGCCACTTTCAAATATACTATTTTATAATTATATATCACAAATATACCAGTAGATCAACATTTAAAAAACACCAAAAATCAAAATTTCACCTTCCAAACAAATTCATGATCAATTCACTAAAATTTGTGTATCAAGAGGTGCAAAGACAGTATATCTTGCTCCTATAGTAGTGCTAACTATATTTTTGAAAGATTGTATGCATTAGGGAACTTAAAAGTTGGGTAATTGGAGATGAACATTGGTATTCCTGGCTTTGTGAACATTTTAGAGGTTTGACAGCACTGGGGCACAGAGTCTATTGTGGCCCCATTTATGTAGTTTCTCCACTTATACTTGATTCCTCTGCTCGTTTATGCTGCCTCCCTAGGTCATCACTGAAAAGTGTATCATCAAATACATCAAATCACTGCAAGCTGCTATATAGTGTCTTGCTGTGTACTCTAGGCTGGCCTCAAGTTTTTTCATAGATTATAAAATACACTTTTATAAGATTACAATAAAAGAAGTAAAGTGCTTTTTATTAGAGAGGTTTAATACTAACAATATTTAGCAACAGTTTCAAAAGGTCATTTATGGAAAACTTCTCAATAGCTACAAATATTATTCATTTGCATATGTGTAATACAGATGATGGTAGGGGAACTCCCCTACCACCACCAGTCATACTTGTTCCCACATGGAAAAACCATGACATCACTCAAGATGGGTGGGTGTGAATAAGGAAGCAAAACTCAATGATAAGAACATCACCATTTCTTCACATTTCATTTAGCACTTGCAGCCAGAGACTGCCTGGACCACCTTACTCCACATTCATGCTGCTTTTATGTTCATGCTTTCATGCTTGACACTCACACCTGTGACTTTATTAGCACCTAAAATAACTTTGCCATTTCCTTCCTCCACCTCCAATAACAAAAATAAATAAGTTATGAATTCTAAATCCTTTCCTGAAATCCTTTAACAAAATAATTGTCTCTTTGAAAGATTCTTAGTGTGTTTTTTAGTTTTTCTCTAATAAAAGGTTTTAAAGACTTCTTCAACCTAATGTACACTACTTAGCTCTGTTTCATCTAAATAGTCTCATCTGCTATACATAGATTATTAAAAGTAACAGGAGCTTAAAAATTCCAAGAGCTAGGTCATTATTAACTCAGTAGTATAGTACTTGTCCGGCACTCATGACACCCAATACTAGAAGAAACAGAAAAGAAGGGAATCAGGAAAAAATTCTGACTTAAGGAAGCCAAGAATCATTAGGGTATTTGGTTCATTCTCCCATTTATTCCTTCATAGTCATTCAACACACTTTGGAATTCCAACTGTGCATTAAAATTCTAGAGAGGAATGGAGATGCACAATTTCTCCCTTCATGGAACCTCAGTGTCTGGAATGGGCAATTGGCAAACTCTAATTCATGGGCCAAATTCAGCATACTGCTCTTCTTGCAAATAAAGTTTGTATTAAAACACAAACATGTCCATACATTCATGAATCATTTGTGGCCACTTTCCTGCACAACAGCAGGGTTGAGTAGGACACAGAGTCCAAAAGGCTTGTAAAGTATATGATGCTATTAGCCATTTACAGAAAACTCACTAGCTCAAGTCTGGTGAACCACCAGATAATCACAGGCAAAAACACTCAACTGAATCATAACAACTTTTATGAAGGTAAACATACTTTATGGGAAGGAGCATATAATGGGATCAATTCAAGGTGGGCAGGCAGGCTTCCAGTGGAAAGTGATAATATGAGCTGGATTAGGAAGATGAAAGAAACAGGTCATGAAACGGCCCTATGAAAGAGCACTGTGAGCGGAGCAAACTACAGAATACTCTTCCAACTGAAGGTTAGAGATACACGCCACTAGTCTCAGAACTCAAGAGGCAGAAGCAGGTGGATTTCTGAGTCCAAGGGGCAGCTAGGGCTACACAGAGAAACCCTGTTTTGAAATACCAGAGAGAGAGAGAGAGGTGCAGGGTGAGAAAGAAAGAAGTTAGAGGCACTAGTGTGACAAAGATGAAAACACAGGGGCCATATGGAAGAACAGCCAGAAAACTATGAATTAAAACAAGCTTGTCGCCGGGTGTTGGTGGCGCACGCCTTTAATCCCAGCCTGAGGTCTATAGAGCAAGTTCCAAGACAGCCTCCAAAACAATACAAAGAAATCCTGTCTTGAAAAATCAAAATCAAAACAAAACAAAAAACCCAGCTCTAATGCCAATGGTAAAAAACTAAAAAATGTAAATATGAGGTTGCTGATAAAGGCATCTGCCATCACTGTTATGATAAAGCTCCAGAGGACCTTGCTTGGGAGACCGTGGCGATTCCACGGCAGGCCAGGGTATCTGAGGTGGAGGGACAAACATGCCAGGCAGACAGAGCTTAATGAACAGTTTTATTAGAAAGGGGGAGGGAGGGGGGAAGGAAAGAGAAAAGAGGTAAAGAGACAGAGAGAGAGAGAGAGAGAGAGAGAGAGAGAGACAGAGAGACAGAGAGACAGAGAGACAGAGAGAGAGAGACAGAGAGAGAGAGAGGGAGGGAGGAAAGGAGGGAGGGAGGGGGGGACAGAAGAGAAGAGGAGACAGGAAAAGTCCTGTCTCTCTGCCCCAGGAGAACAGAAAGAGAGCGGGAAAGAAAGGAGCAAGAAAGCGAGCACAAGTGGGTGGGGCCTTTCTTTTAAAGGGTCCTTTGCACCTGTGTGCAGACTGTGCAACCACGATCCCTGGGCTGACCAGTGTGCGGCCTGAGTGCATTCTGCCAGGTGAAAGGGGCAGGCCAGCATATGCCTGAATCCTTACAATCACACCTACTGACTCAAGTTCAATTCTGAGAGTCCACATGGTGGAGGAAAGGACCAACTCAGACCTCCACATGCACCCCATAGCACATGCATGTCCCCAACAGATGAAAAATAAAGTTAAAATTTTTAATGTATATATAGTAAATTAAATCTGAAACTGGTTTTGCTAAGAACTAAAATTATACCCTTGTCCTGTTGCCAAAGATTTCTGTGACTGTATACTTACAACAGAGGTCTACGCTCTGGTCCAAATTCTGCTTCATAGTAGCCATCTCTGCAGTCTTTTCCAACTAAATCATGAGGATGAGGTTTATATGGGTCGTTTTTTGTTACTAATGTAATTCTCACTTTTCCTTTTCCATAATAGTTCATAACCTGAAAGGGGAAATTAATTGTACAATCCATAAATATATCTTGTTAAGAACAGATCTACTTGATAGGTACTGTGGCATATACCTGTAGAGCCAGCATTTAAAAAGCTGAGGCAGAATTGGCACAAGTTCAGTGCCAGCTAGGGCTACATACAATAATACCCTGTTTTAAAAGCAAACAAATATAAAGAACTTATCCACCACTGACTAAAGTTCAGATATTCAACAGTTTACTTGAGATTAAAGTTTCCAGAGAATACTAGCAGAAAAAAAAACATCTCTTAACTCCTGAAATGTTTCTTTTTTTTCCCCCTAATTTCATCTAGCTTTATCATCTGGCTATTAATTTTCCTTTTAAAACAAATAAGCACACTGGGCATTGTGACACACACCTTTAATCCCAGAATGCAGGAGGCAGAGGCAGAGGCAGGGGCAGAGGGAAAAGCAGGCAGATCTTTGGGAATTCAAGGCCAGTCTGGTCTACAGAGTGAGTTCCAGGACAGCAAGGGCTACACAGAGAAACCTGTCTCAAAAACAAGCACAAAACAGGTTGAGGATGTAGCTCAGTGGAAAGAATGCTTACCTAGCATGTATGAGGCCCTGGGTGTGATTCCCAGTGCCACAATAACCATACTCAAGAATAGAGAGCAATTTTTAGAAGTGCAAGGTCTTCCTCAGCTGTATGCTAAGTTTGAGGTCCACTTAAGCTATATGATATCCTAAATAAATAAAGTTAAGTTGATACCTTTTTATTTGTTTATTTTTTTTTCAAACAAGGTTTCTCTGTGTAGCCCTGGCCGTCCTGGAAATCACTTTGTAGACCAGGCTGGCCTCAAGCTCAAGAGATCCACCTGCCTTTGCCTTCTGAGTGCTGGGATTAAATGTGTGTGCCAACACAGTTTGGAAAATTGATACATTTTATTTTAGCCACAGAGCACAAGGAAATGCTTAGAGGTTAGTTTTTTAGTGCTTTGCTCTTAGTTACTCTGTCATACCATAAGTATACCTTGAAAAAAACTTATTTAAGACACACTGGAAATAATAGCAAACAAATATGACCCACCTGCCTCTGTCTCACAAATTCTGAGATTAAAGACATGTTCCATTGTGCCTGGATGTTTTATATTTTATTCTTTGAAAGTTTCATATGTTTATTTATACAATGTATACTGATCATAGCCACCCACTGCTACTTTCCTCTTTTAAAAAACGAATAGTAAACCGGGCGTTGGTGGCTCACACCTTTAATCCCAGCACTCGGGAGGCAGAAGCAGTTGGATCTCTGAGTTCGAAGCCAGACTGGTCTACAGAGTGAGTTCCAGAACAACCTCCAAAGCTACAGAGAAACTCTGTTTCTAAAGAAAAAAAAACATAACAAAAAAACACTGCCTTTCTAGATGAAAGAGAGGCAAAAACTACAAAAATAGGCTGATAGAGAAAGAATTCAATCTGGAAAGAGTTTAGGACCTGTTGGAGCAGAAAATATACAATCATACATACGTTTTTGATGCATAAATTTATATGATTAAAGAATTAAGGGTTACTTTGATGGTACTGTCACCAAGAAGTGCAATCTCTGGATATCACATAGTACCCGGCCAGTTGCCCTCTGACCTCTACTTACACACACACACACACACACACACACACACACACACACACACACACACGGTGGGAGTTCTAAAACGTTCAAAAATTAAAAACAAACAACAACAAAAACAGAAAAACAGTCCTTTGAGGACACATAGCCAATGGGGGAAAAAAACTTGTGGAAAAAAGCAGGTTTTGAAATTCACCCTTGACAGCACACCCTCTATAGAAAACAGAATCGTGGGTGCTACTATGTTCCAGCAGTTCCTCAGGGACATTAAAGGTGAGAGGAAAAGCTGGGAATCTTGGCAGAGAGTTGTGACCTTCAATAGGAGCAACAGCAAGATCACCATCTCCTCCAAGGTACCTCATCAAAAGATATTTGAAATATCTCATCAAAAGACAAGTTTGCAGGACTGGCTGCGCTTCTGGTTGTACATCACTGCCAACAGCAAAACAGGGCTTGGAAATGTCTGCATTACTTCCAGGTTAACTAGAATGAAGGAGAGCAGGGGAATGAGGAGCAAGACACATTGGTCTGGAATGTTTTGTCTGAATTTATAAATAAAATTTAGGAACTTTTTTAATGAGGAGCTAAAATGTCTCACAAGATTGGAAGAATAGAATTTTTAAATTAACTTTTCAATGCATCTCTTCCATTTGAATACTTAAAAGAGCTTAGAAAACCCTACTCTATACTGTTGTCAAAAATGTGACTTAAAAGCATGAGTTATGGGACTGGAGTGACAGGTCAACAACGAAGAGCACTCCATGGTCTTCCACAGGACCAGAGTTCAGATCCCAGCATCCATGTCAGGCAGTTCACAACTGCCTCCAACTTCAGCTTCCGGGGATCCAATACCCTCTTCAGGCCTATGTGGTTCTCCACCCCCAAATATGCATTTTCACAGATATATACACATACATGTATAAAAATAAAAAATCTTTTTAAAAACTTCAGTTTGTACAGTAGACAGGACAAAAAGCTCTAGGCACACTGTTATACAATATGGTGACTGTGTACAAATACACTGTATGTCTCAAATACCTAGGAGGAATTTGAATGTTTCCACAGTAATGATAAATGTTTGAGCAGCTAAGCATGTTTAACCTGATTTAAGAATTACATGATGTATACATGTATCAAACATTACATGACATCCCATTAACGTGTAATTTCAGCATTTATACATAAGTTAAAACAAAAAGAGAAATTTGGAAATCAGTATGTAACTTAGTAATTGACTTATGTTTTAACTTTGAATTCTCCTTAGGTTCAATAAAACAAAGTATTAAAAAGCTAGTTACAAAGCAGTGATTTCAGGTCTAATGACGAAAGATTAAGAACCACTTTTCGAACTGTATTTTGAGATGATTTATCCACACTGGTTTCTGGACCCAAGTAATTCTCCTACCCCAGCCTCCCAACTAGATGGAATTTCAGTGGGTAATATTGCCCCAGACTAGTTTTTGTTGTTGTTTTTTGAGACAGGGTTTCTCTGTGTAACAGTACTGGCTGTCACTTTGTAGACCCGTCTTGGCCTCAGATTCACTGAGATTCGCCTGCCTCTGCTTCCCAAGGGCTGGGATTAAAGGCATGAGCCACCATTGTCTGGCCCCCTGACTAGTTTTTACTTTGTTTTCATTTATTTGTTGAGACAAAGTCTTGCTTTCAAAGTCCAGATTGGCCTGGAACTTCTTATGTAGTGTAGGCAGTTCTCAAGCTCAAGATCTGCCTGTCTCTACCTCCCAAATGTGTAAATAACAAACATGTGCTACCATACCAACTCACCATTAAGCTTTTTAATCAGCCTCTAAATGATAAAAATCAGCCAGGCATGATTGCACATGTGTATAATCCAAGTACAAAGGAAGCAGAGGCAAGAGGGAATATTGCTACAAGTTTTGAGATAGCATAGGCTAGTGTAATTTTTGTTTCAAAACACCAAACATGAACAAATAAATTATAAAAATTAAAAGGCAAGTAAATATAATTTATACATATAGCATAAACATACTTTGGTACATTTGCCAAATTCATTTTCAATCAAAAACTACTTTCACAGGTTAGGGATGTATCTCAGTGGTAGAATACTTGCCTAGCATTCCTAAGATTATTAGGTTCAGTCCCTATGACTGTCTGTCAAAAAACAATATAGAAAGACCAGTAGCTTGAGCACGTGTGATACCAACTCTGCTATCAGGAGATGGGAAGCAGAAACAGGAGAAGTTAGTGGACCAGGTAGCCTGACATATGAAATGAGAAAACAACACGGCACCCTGCCTCAAAAAGGTGGAAAGAAAGCACCAACCCACCCAAGGCTGTCCTGACATCCACATGCGCACTGAGGTACAAGAGTGCCTGCATTCACACACACACCTTAGACACACACACACACACACACACACACACCTTAGACACACACACACACACACACACAGAGAAAAAAGTGATGAGTACTGGAGATATCCAATAAAGGTAAGGAAAAGGGAGGGGGAAAGTTTTTCTTATTAATAGCCCCAAGACTAAATGATTGCAAAAAAAAATTAGAGTTTCCAAATCCATGTTTAACATATACAATAATTCCTTCTCACCACTACATAGAGAATGTTTTTTCCTCACTAAAAGCTTTGTTTACAAAAGAGATCAGATCCAAGGCTGTCAGTGTACAGTAAACACCATGAATCACTGCAGTTACATTAATACATGAACTATAGTAGGAAAGATTCCACATTTTTTAGGAGATCCCCCTACACATCTAGTTATGCAAAGCAAGTTCAAGAAAAAAAAACAGGGGAGGGGCAAAAGACTGTGGAGGTAACTGTTAAGAAACTGAGTCTTCCACTAAGCGGTGGTGATTCACCCCTTTAATCCCAGCACTTGGGAGGCAGAAGAAAGTGGATCTCTTGAATTCAAGGCCAGCCAGAACCACACAGAAAAATCCTGTCTCGAAACAAAACAGAAAACAAAAAGAAACTGAGCCCTTAATGGAACTGCTATCGTGAAATATGAGCCACTAAAAGTGAGACCCTTACCTGGATAGACGGGTATGTCCGATTGTTGTCTGTGCTGTGCTCCCCAGGGATGCTGCCTGCTGATCGCCCTTCACATTTGTATCTAAAACGCATCCCCCTCTGTCTTGGCTGTTCAATTATTTCTACGTAGGGATTATATCCACCTGAAAATTTAAAAGGAACAGCGCAATGAGATTAGAATAGCAATATAATGTATTTTAATGACTTGGATTTTAAAAAAATACACCAAAGTTCAAATATAGCCATCAAAGACTAGATGAGGATGATACCTTTTCCCTCACACAAATTGAACTCCTATGTAGTATTAGCACACAATTGATTAGTGCTTTATTGCTTAATACATATAGCTAACAACAGTATTAAGTTCTGAGATAACCACATAAGACCAATTAGAAGGGTTTTCTCCCAACACTTCCCAATAAAGGTGAAGAAACTGGGTAAAATGTACTTCACTGCTTTATTTTAAATTAGACGCTAAGTATGTGATAAGACACTCATTAGAACTTAAAATGCACAAGTCTGCAATACCAAAGGATCTGTAAACAATGTACAAAAATAAGTTCCAGAAGTTACTCCAGGCTCAACTAAATTTTCAACTCAGTTCCATCCGCATCTCATAAAAAATGTAACAGATAATATAGATGAAATAAAATAATTTACTTTCCAAAACAAATGTAATTAAAAATGTGCACCCTCAGGATAAAATACTAATACATACAACTATCAGGTGACTGTGTTGAGTGGAAGAAGCTAATCTAAAACAAATACATACTATAAGATCCACTTATATGAAACTGTAGGATACACAAGCCAATCTATAATTAAGTAAAGGTGATCATTATTTGGTTAAAGCCAGGAGATGAGAAAGTTTGAAGGATGGTGGACATGTTTATTTTTACTGTTAAGGTATATATATGTATATATATATATGTGCTTATACACATATATATGTATGTATAAACATACACAAACACATCTATTTATTTATTTACTTATTTCCAAGTGTGTGGGTCAGGACTTTAATATTAGCTGTCTCAAAAGCAAAGATAGGCTGATGACTGTGAATTCAAGACCAGTCTGCTCTATATAGATAGAAAGTTTCAGGCCAGTAAGGGTAGATTAAAAAGATCCAGTGACTACCCCCAAAGTCCATCTTTGGGGTCCTAATATGAAGTTCAGGTTTAAATAGAGAATAAGAGTTATGCATAACAATAATTAATCAGTCTTGGTCATAAATAAATCTTGTCTTAAAAACTAAAACTCAAAAAATTTATATATAATTATTACCTTGCAATTAATTAATTGTATATCAATAAAGCTTTAAAAACATATGCATCTTCATTCTAAAAATTAGCCAAGGCATGGAAATAAAAGTTCAAAAAAGACAACTGTGTTTACAAGTTAGGATAGGTAACTACATATTTTTATTTTAAGAGTATAAATTCCCCAAATCATAAATCCATTTCACTAAGGCTTGTCCTGTTAGAATGCAAACAATCTTGAGAAATGTTGAAACAATGAATCTTTGAAATACAGTATGGGACAAGGCTATACCACCCAGCTACTTCCATTTTCTTTTCCTTCTAGAATTTACTATGTAGATCCAACTGACCATGAACTTGCAGGAGGCTGCTTCTGTCTCCTAAGTGCTAGTCTCAAAACAAAACAAGACTCAGAAAGATTCTGGCAAGACCCTGGTTAATTATATCTTATTATTAATATACTCTGTAAAATATGTGTTAAATTCTTAACAAGTGTCACACAGACAAGAGGTAGTCAATAAATGGCACTACGATTACTTCAGATGCTGTCTTGAAGACAGTGACAGCACTATCACACCATCACTGCCACTCTAAAGGACTTTATATTCAACAGTGAGGCAAACATCACAATTATTAGCATACAAAAAGGGGGAGAGTACTAACAAAATTCTGAAGAAAATTATAATAAGAACAAAAGAGGAATCTAACAGTTTAAGAGGGGAAAATGCAACAAAACAAGAGTGAAAAGACATTCTAGAAAAGGGGAAGTAACTGTCTATACAAGGTGCATTAATCACTAATGGAAGTGGAGTACGATTCCACTCTTAGAAAGAGAACTGAAAGTCCAAACACATTCAGTAATATGGATTTCATTTTATATGTGGAAAGCAATCAATGCTTTTATTTGGGGAAATCACAAGATCAGATTAGTAGTCTAGAGAAAGAATTCTGATGGTAGTAGATAGACTGAAGAAAGAGAAAATAATCAATTTAAAAACTACTTACATACACACATACACATGATTTTCTCCTATAAATACATATATATAAGAGAGTAACAACAATAAAACAGAGCAATTGTGGAAAAACTACTATGATGAGTTACTTAAAAGTTTTTATTTATTTATTGAATTTTCTTTTTAATATTTTATACTATAGTTAAAAACAAATAAATGAACTAAGGAAAATGAATCCAGTGAATACCCTGTCTCAAAGAACAAGGTGACAACTCCTGGGAACCAAGGTTAATTAACACCCAGTGCTGTGGAACAGTCTTTGTACACTGTAATATGTGTTACTCTCATTGGTTAATAAAGACCTGACTGGCCTATAGCTGAGCAGGAAGAGACTGGGTGGGAGAGCCAGATTGGGACCACACTGGGAAGAAGGGTGGAATCTCAGTAATAACCAGCCAGACACAGATGTAGCAACAAGCCATGAGCCACTTGGTAGAACCTAGATAAGACATATGGGTTAGTATAAATTGTAAGAGCTAATCAGTAATAAGCCTGGGACACCGGCCAAGCATTTATAATTTATATTAAGTCTCCATGTCAGTTACTCAGAACAGGTGGGCGTTAAAGAAAAATCCACCTATAACCCAAGGTACACACATGCATACTTGAACATATATACACACCTATGCATGGGAACATGCGTGAGTGTTCACACACTCTCTCTTACACACACACACACACACACACAATCACTTGTGGCTATGTGGTTTCTACTTTGAGTTACTCATAAATTATTGCTACCTCTAATTTTATTCATTTAATTCAGACCTCTTGTTCTAAATTTAATCACTCATTTGCTTAGTCAACTACAGAAAGCAGGCCTAAGGACCTGGGTTCAATCCCAGTACTACTGAAAACAAAAGAACGCAAACAAACAAAAAAAACCCAACGGGGTCAGCGGGTGGGAACTTGATTTTAATTCAATCAAGTTCATAATAATTACTAAAAAGATAAGCAAATGAGTATCTCACAATTTATAAATCATTGCATATGTAAACTTTACACCTCAATATTAAATATTTATACTTTTTTTTTCCAGATAGGGTTTCTCTGTGTTAACAGCCCTGGCTATCCTGGAACTCACTCTGTAGACTAGGCTGACCTCAAATTCAGAGATCTATCAGCCTCTGCCTCCCAAGTGCTAGAATTAAAGGCATGTGCCACTACTGCCCAGCTATATCTTGTATTCCTGTAAGACTATTTAAGAGGATGTGCATTTCTTTTCAATTCTGTTAAATTCAACATGATTTTTTTCAGTGGCATCTTAAGGAATTTATGTGGTTGAACTAAAAGGTCAAACAAATCCCAGCACACTACTTTTTAAAAGGTGTTTTGGTGGCAAATTGATATAGAATGACATCATTAACAGTAGTTGTTAACTTTTTTGAAGAAGTATAAAAAACATAGTAGGGGCATTCAAAGCAAGTTATGCATTTCTTTAAAACAGTGAGTATATCTATGAAATTATGAATTACAAAGAAATGTAAAGTTAGTTGTTGAAAATGTTATTTTAAAATATCTTGAAGTAGTAAGAATTACCTAAATATTGTCATATAATATCATGCATTTATATTTATTTTTCCTCTTGCACAAACTCTTCATTGAGCTGGGTGGTGGTGGTGCACTCCTTTAATCCAGCATGGAGATAGGTGGATCTCCAAGTCTGAGGCCAGCCAGGTCTACAGAGTTGAATTCCATGAGAGCCAGGCCTACACAGAGAAACCCTGTCTTAAAAAAACAAATAAAAAAGAAACTCTTCATTGATAACAAGTCTCACTAAAAACCAAGTTTCAGAATTTATAGTCTGATTTATATACATTCCCCCAGTTGGAAATAACTTTCCCTTCCTGTAAATCGGTGGTTCTCAAACTTCCTAACGCTGTGACCCTTTAACACAGTTCCTCATGTTGTAGGGATCCCCAACCATAACACTATTTTTGTTGCTACTTCATAACTGTAATTTTTGCTATAATTATGAATCATAATGTAAATATCTGATATGCAGGGTATCTGATACGTGGCCCCACAGGATGAGAAACAATGCTGTAAACCATCATAGAATTTTTGTTTACAGAATTATTCCAAAGAACATTAGTTTAAGGAAGATTAACTATCATGTTCTTTATTTTTTGAGACAGGATCTCATTTTAGGGCAGGCCTCTAAGTTGTTCTGTAGCCTAGGCTGGCCTTGAACAAGTGTTGAAACTACAGGTTCCGCTATCATAGGGCTTTGCACAATGCTGGGGATCATATCCAGGGCTTTCAAATACTGGGCAGCTACTCTATTGAGCTACATCCTCCTTTTTTTGAGACAGGATCTCATGTAACCTAGACTGATCTCAAACTCAATGCTTAGCTTGATGCTTTCCTTGAACTTCTGATCTTCTAGACTCTGTGTTCCAAGTACCAGGGCTACAGATTTCTGCCACCGCACCCAGCTTTGTTATTGAAGTAATGCTACATGTTTTACTTCTTCAAGTTACTGAATGGCAGAAATTGTATTACTTATTAATGCCTTAAATTAACATCTGTTGAGAGATTAAAACCCCAAAGCTCTTTTGTGTCAGTCATTCAAAAATTAAAGTACTGTATAAATGATTAATCATTTCCTCATTAGATTCCTCTGTAACTGAAAAAAATACTGCTTTGTATGAACTAGAACTACACCTCCATGCCTTCTCATATCTGTTCATATCTATGACTTTTAAAACCTTCCTTGCTATGAAATTGTTTGTATTGTATATCAGCACAGTGAGCCAATCATGTCCTTCCTCAATATTGATTTGCAATGCCATTCCTCTTGAAGATGAAAAATGCAAAAATGCAGTCCTCAATGGAGAGGAAGAAGGGAAAATTATAAATCAG